GGGCACCCACAACGGAAGACGAAGGGGGGGCAACAAGCACAAGCGGCGGCGGTGATCCCAACCACATGGGAGGTGGAGGGGAACAAGCGATCGACGCAGACGGGCAGCACCAACCAGCAACTGCCTCGGAGCCGCACGACCATGGCCAGCCACCCAACACCAACCCAAGCAGTGGGGGACAAGAAGAACTACACGGTCGCGAAAATGGCAAGGACACCGAGAAGGGCAAGTTCGAACCAGACCCCCAACACCACACCCCGCTGGGTGGAACCTCCAAGCCACCAGGGCAGCTCTACCACGCCCCATGCCAAGATCCGGTTCCACGCAGCACCGGGCCCAGAGAAAACCCACCACCCACCGCCCCAGCAGGGGGGCTCACACCCCGAAAGAGGGGGAACGACCGCCCGTCGGCTTTCCACCCACCAGACACACCGTGGGACGACTTCCCCCACCCACCGTCCGAAAGCACCCACCCACCAGCACGAGATAGTGGGGGGGTCTTTTTTTTCCCACCCGTTTCGCAAGCGTTTACGGGGAAAAGGTCAGCCTCAGAAAAGCCCGGTTGCAGAAAAGTTGTTTCGCGGCAGAAGGTGGGCTTCAGGGGAACTGTAACGGGAGGTCAAGGGTTGTGGGGTATATATGCCACCAATCCAAACACACAACCTCGGAATGAAGATCCAGAAACCGAACCCCAGCGCCACACCATGGGGGATCCGCTTCTCGCCGGCGTACGACCCCGACACGGACCCCTGGAACGGCGAGGCAGCCACTGTCCCCGACCCAAGAAACCATTGCCCACCACGGACCAACACGCCCAATCATGACGCGCCCGCCTCCACGCACGCCAGAGGGGACCCCACCGGCCCTGTACACATACCGGGGCAAGTCCCACCACCAGAACCACGAGGCCCCCACACCCTCCTGCCAAGAAGGGGGAATGCACAACACACCCAGCACGCTCACCAACCACCTTTCCTACCTGCCACCCACGTCCCAACCATCGGGCTGCAGGAAGAACACCTCACGGTCACGATACCCATCGTGCCGGCCAATGCCCCATGGCTGGCCATTGTGGAGCAGCTGCTTCGGCAACACAGCCGGAACGCCCTAGACGCATTCCAGTCGCAGCGACAAGCCGCAGAGCACCAACCGGAGGGGGTTGCCCACCACCACCACCACCCCCGGCAACCCCCTACGCCGCCAGACCTGGGAGCCACCACACCCAAAATGCCACACCAACCCCTCCAGAAGGGGCCACGACCTGCAACTGGGGCCGCTAACCAGACGCCACAAGCACAGCGCAAGGGGCTACCCAACGGCAACAATGGGGTGGAAGGGCTCCCGGGGGCCCAACAGCCAACGGACCAACACCAGCACCAGCAGCAAACACCACCAGCCGGAGCAAGCACGGGACCCCCCGTCAAGCAGCCACCGCCGCGTCCCCCCAAAGCACATCCGGGGCGGACGACAAGCACGCAGCCCACTGCAACGGCGCAACCCAAGCCGCCACCACCACAACCACCCGCAGACGACGACGACGACGACGACCGAGATATGGATGGGCAATGCCAAGACCAACACCCACCGCAAGCAGAGCATGGGGGCAGCACACCGGGGGGGGGGCAGGATGGCCCGGCGCACTGGTACATGCGGGAAGGGGAGACATTCGAGGAGGCCATGGCAAGGCGAGCCAGAAACAAACACGAGGGGAGGGGAGAGCAAAGGACACGCGACAGAGAACAAAAAGCACGGCGAGCATGGGAACGCAAGCAGAGAGCCCGGCAAGGCCGGTCCAGACCGAGCCCACAAACTGCAACAGCAGAGGAGGAGGAAGGAGGCGGGCAAACCACGGACTGGGCTGAGATGCTAAACCGCCACAAACAGCCCAGAGGGGGGGAAGCGAACAACAACCACCACCACAGCCACAACAACCACAGCTGCGGCCGGGGGAGAACGAAGAGGAAGAGGAGGAGAGCGACAGCTCCGAGACGCACTGGAGCAGCAGCGACCACGACAGCGCAGAGCCCCCTGAAGCAGAAGCAGAAGCAGACGCGAACCAGCAGCCCACCGACACGAAGGCAGCGGGGTCAGCAGCGGCGGAAGCAGCGCAACGCCAGGCGGAGGAGGACCGCTGGGAATGGTCCCAGGATGGGCCCCCACTACTACCCATCACCCGGCGGGCACAAATTGTCTTCAGGTGGGGGCAACCAGGGGTGTGCATATGGGAATTTGAGGTTCACCCAGACAGCCAGCACATCCCGGGGGGGCGAAGGGTGCGGCAGAGGGGGGTGAACACGCCGCAGGGTGCGGACCAACCGCCGCCTCTCCGAGTCGGTGTGAGAGGACAACTCAGGAAGGTGCGAGGAGAGGACGTGTGGGTGATGGCTGCGCTGCAAGCAGGGGGGGACCCACCACCACAGGAGCATAAGGAGGAGGAGGGGGAGGAGACAGCCACATACGTTCCACCACACCTACAGATGTGCCACCGTCACCCCACTGCGGCCAGTCACACGGCCCAACCACCAACAAGGGGGCTCGTCCGGGTCGGGGCACCGCACACCACCGCAACCACCACCGCCCACGGACGAGCCCAGCACCACCACCCACACCACCACCGGTCATACCACCACCACAGTCACCACCACCACTGCCACCACTGCCACGGCTACGGCCGCCAGTCCCCACAACCCCCATGAAGGGGGCGCCACAATCGACACGACGCACCCTGCAACGACGCTGGCTGCGAGCGCAACTGCAGACCGGGAGGAATGGGACGACACACCCCTGGTGCAGAAGGGCAGGGGGAGAGGGAGAGGCGGGGGGGGAAAACGAGACACGCCCAAACGCACTGGACAACACCGGAGCGAAGCACCGCCACCCAGCAAACGACCCAGGATGGAGGCCAGGGAAAGGCAAGCCACCACAGCCAGCACCTACGTGCAAGCAGCACTAAGCGCCCTTCGAGGCCAACCGGGAGAGGGGAGGGGAGGGATGGTCGTGGAGGAGGGGGAAGAACACTTGGTGGCGGCACTGCAATGCCTAAGGCGGGTCGCAGGAGAAGAGGAAGGGGAAGAGGGAGACGAGCACGTGAACAGCAGCACTACCGGCACTGCCCCACTGCAACCGCCGCCGGCACCCACACGAGCACCTGGCCCGGGAGAGGAGGGATATGGGAGCAGCAGCAGCAGAGACAGGGTGGAGCCGGACAGACATGGCAGAATGGTGGATCCCATCACGCGCTCGACGGAGGAGGGGCAATCCACGCAAGGAGGCCAACTACAGCCACAGGGGGGGACTACCACTTGGGAAGAGGTGGCAAGACTAGCGGGGCAGGTCAGCCAACGGAGGAAAGGATGCAGGACACGATGACCATCCTACACCTGGTGAGGCAGGGGAGGAGGTGGCTGGATGCCGTAAAAAGGACCAGCAACTGGGAGCTACAAAGCCTGGCCGAAGGCAAAGCAGCGGAGGCGGAGCAAGCAGCCCTCCTAGCACTCAGCTACCCCAACCACCACCAAGCAGCGAGCCAACTGCTACACGTCCAGCACCACGCAGAAGCATGCGTAGGAGCAGAAGCCATAGCACTGGAAGCAGTGCATAACACGGGGGGAGGTGAGCACGGCGGAGGGGGGGTACACCCGGCAGACGCGATCAGCCTGGCAGCGGGGGGGGGGGAGGCGGCACCGGCTGGGGATGGGGGGAGGTTGCAAACGGGGGGGCACCCGGTGATGCGAGCCAGAAGCACCTGCTGCCCTTCACTGGAGGAGAAGTCAGGCAACAAGTGGAGGCAGCCCTCGGGGCCCTGGACGAGTGGAGCACGGAACTGTGGGGGGAAGAACTTCTGGCGATCGAAGACACACCAGGCGACAACGGGGGGGGAGTCAACCCACCAGGGCACCACACAGGAGGGCCAACCCCCGGGGGGGAGAGTGGAGGTGGCGGGGAAAGGGGACGAGGGGGCCGAGAAGAAGAACGACGAGCGCTGCTACCACCGGAAGAAGAAGTACTACACGATCGTGAAAATGGCAAGGACACCGAGAAGGAGATCTGTGACCTGGGGGGAGGGGCGGAGGAGGAGGGGGAGGGGGACGGCGCATTGCCGAATGCAACGGGGGCAAAGGGGGTGAGCACCCAAGCCACCGTGCCGTGGAGCCCACCGCCGCCACTGAGCTCCACGATGACCCCGGCGCAGTTCGAGGGGCCGGTCCGCAGGGGGGGGGAAGCACAGAGAGGGGAAGCGGCAGCAAGGCGGAGATCAAAGCAGAGACGAAGACTGGGTTGGGGGCAAAGAACAAGGAGGTCGCGCAGTGGGGGACCGCCCTTTCGCAGAAGGCTGGCACACAACAAGGACACGCCCAGCAGACGCCGCACCGGGGGGCCTACAGCAGGGCAAGAACTACTGAGCCTTCCTGACGAGCATAGGCGTAGACGTGAGCATGCGGGGCTTGAGTAAAGCTAGCCGAGGGGGTACCAGGTGTCTGTTTTCTAGGGGGCCTTTGACACGCTAGTTTGTTACCTAGGGGGCCTCTGACACGATGAACCTGAGCCCGCAATGCCCACAAGAAGTCAGGGTCTCACCTTTTTCACAGTGGTCAACGAAGAACCCCGGGGCTAAAGTGTAGGGGGATAAGGGGGGGCTTGCTTGCTTGCTCAGGTTCAGGTTCGGATTGGGGGGGCTTTGGTTCGACACAAAGGGGTCATTGATCACCAGTTTCACGTCAAACCGGGCACCGGGGTACCAGCAGCCAACACCGCCTCACTGGATAACGGGATTACAAAGGGGGGCTACGGGGTTAATGGGGGGAAAGTTGGCAGAGTACACCCGGGCACCGGACACCGACCACTCCACCCCGAAACAGGGGCGGGCAAAGATGCCCGGGGCGCAGACCCCAAGCCCCTAGAAAGAAAGAAAGAAAGAAAGAAAGAAAGAAAGAAAGAAAGAAAGAAAGAAAGAGAGAGAGTGAGTCCGTGTGTCCCACGCCTAAAATCCGTCTCTGAAGGCCTCGCAGCTGCGGCGGCAGCTGGATTCCGGCAAGCAGGCATGGGGGAGTAGCTTTTGCAAGAAGGTGCTCGTCCTTGTTGGGCAAGCTGCAAGCTCTCTGTTGGCCCCAGGCCGCCGAGCAATCAGTCGCGGATACCGAAGAGGTGCTCGCTGACTTAAGCCCACTGCGTTTGTTTAGGAGGAGCTTCTTTGCTTTTCACAGCAGGCGCCGCTGATCTCCGCAGCTGGGTTGCGGCAGCTTTGTCAAGAAAAGGGCGGCTCGATTTGGGATCATCTGGGCACAGTTAGCCAAACCCAGGACCGGGCCGGGAGACCTTATTTTAAAGTCCTTTGAAGCTCTGCATACCACTGCATACCACTGCACTGAGGCAGCGCTGTGCCCTTCCCACAGAGGCCGCGTTCAGAGTTTTTCTTCTCCTCCACGTCGAGCGATGGCGTGTGCCGCACGAGGCGAGCTTACTGCCCTGTGAGCTCTGGCCGCCAACCACTTAGTGCGGACTGTTCTGATTGAGCTTCGGTCCAGTGCCGGTCCTGGTGCTCAAGATGGCCCCCCTGATGTTAGGTACGTCTACTCGTCTATTGCTCGAGCAGCAGTTCCCGAGGCCGATCCGATGAGTTTTGAGAGGCACAGCCCTACCTATATCCTGCTACTAGAAGTGTGTTGTTGCAAAGGTCTTTTGCAGGCAAACTGCCATAAACTGCCTTAGGCGGTGGTCGCCCGACTGCAGAAACAGTTTGAAGCGGCAATTCCATCGGCATCGAAGCAGGGCACCTCCAGGAGCACCTCGCACTGCTCTGTTTCACTCTTTTTTCTCCTCTCTCCTTCTGCTGTCGATGCTGGAGGCGGGTGACGCTGGAACGTACTTCTCCTAGCTGTGCGTCGTGCGGCAAGGCCAAAGCCTGTGCTACAAGCTGCCATGACCCAAAAACTCAGGCCCCGATCGAGACTTTCAAGCGTGCTTGCCCTCCGCTCAGCAGCCGAATTTATGAGTACTTGTAGTGTTATCCCGGCAAGCATGTAGCAGAGAAGAAGACTCCGAAGACTCGCAGTGGCAGTGCCAAGAAAGGTTCGATCTCTGCCGCATTCTTGCAGCAGCCCTGCGGGGTAGTCGAGACTTCAGCCTAGAGCTAGACCAGGCCATGAGAGCATCGAAAAGCCCTCAGGAAAGGGTTGTCTCCAAGTTTCGTACGGCATTGTGTCAGGCGTGGGGAGTGGCTCAACAGCAGGGGGATTACAGCCCAGTCGCGCCTGCTACCGAGATGTGTCGGCATGTCGGCATGAACCCTAAAACCCTCTAAGCCTCCCAAAATCTCCCAAACCCTAAAACCCGAAATGCCCCTTCTGCTTTGCACCAGCGCTAGACACCAGAGCCGGAGCTAAGGGCACATCGGAACCTAAAGTCTCCGCATGGTTTTTCGCCGTGCGCCCAGAAAAAACCTTTCTATGGCTATTCTTTATTCTTTCTGGTCTCTCTCACTCTCTCTGTCTCTCACTCTCTCCCAGCTGCTCTGGTTTTGTACCACACAGATGCATCATGGACATCGCTCTGCCGCCTTCGCTTAGCTACGAGAACCATGAGAGGCCGGGGATGCTGTGGAGCCTCTCATGGTCCGAAAAAATATAGGTTGCATTGGTTGCATATGGATCCCAAGATCACACCGAAGCGATGCACTGGCAGGCCATCAAAAGGTTCCTATGGCTTTCATGATGGCTTGCACAACCTGCTTTGGAAAGGTGTGTCTTGGATGAAGAGGACGTAGTTGGGCAGTCGAGTCAGCGAACGCTCCATGGTCTGAGGATCGCACGACGGACAAAGACGACCTCGTGCAGCCTGGCATCATCCAGCTGGACTGGCCCTCGGCTACTGTAGCCAGCTACAACATTCGAAAATTGGAGCAGGGAGGGCGCGTCTGGCACCAGAAGTCGTTTATTCGCCGAGTGCGTTCTGTGGCCCTGATCTTGCACTTCCTTTCGGCCTTGTGGCGTTGTGGGAAGGAGCTACGTCTGGGCCAGTTGTACGTGTTCCCCGACTGGGTGCCTCGGCCCGTGCAGCGCATGCAATTACAACATTCAGACAGCATAGTCTAAATCATTCCATACGTAGTACATGGCACATCGGCGAGTGAGCTGTGCGTCGAGTTAGCAGTAAAGCCAAGTGTAGATGCTGTTGAGCCAGTGAACATTGAGCACCCAGGTGCAGACGCTGACATACCCCTTTGAAGGCCCCGGCGAGAGGCGATGGATTGCAGCGACGGTCGCGCTGGCAGAAACAAGAGACGCGCGGCACGGAAGACCGGGAAGACACGAGAAGCTGAAGTTGCTCCCTAACCTCGCTTCATAACACATCACAAGAGGGCTCCGCAGGAGGGCTCCCCCAGGAGGGCTCCCCCAGGAGGGCTCCCCCAGGAGGGCTCCCCGAGGAGGGGGCTCCCAGCAGGGTCCTTCAGGAGGGCGTTAACGGGAGGGCTGCCCCGGAAAAGCTGTTGGCAATTGCCCTAATGTAAGGGCCAAGGTGAGTTGGCAACGAGGGTTTAAGGTAGGTCACCCAAAGGTTGTATTCCTTAATGTCTGAAAATTACGTCCTATGCGAGGACCTGAGCGACAATCTGCTCGGACAATCAGGCATTCCAACCGAAGCTTTCTTGAGCTCGACAGGTTGGGCATGAGCGGGATGTTCAAAACAGCACATGTGTGAAGAAGTCGTTCCCGCCACCGAATGACTCCAGTCCAGCAGCGCAACGCCCTTATAAAGTGGCGCCTTTCAAGCGTGCTGCGTGCCAAAGAGCACTGCGCCGCATGATGACATGTTTGCATTCCCGACTGGTGCCGACCTTCTGGACCATCCATCTTTTGCACATTCTCTGCAAAGGGTTCGATGCCGATTGGTCATGTTGTTCTTCGTGCGAAGTCCAGACAGGACTTCGAAGAGGCCAGAGAGCCTCCATCAGCATCGACGTACTTTGAGGACTGCAGCGCGAGGTTGGATGCCAGCCAGAGAGTTGATAGCAAGACGTGAGGTGCATGACTCATGCCAATTCATGACTCCTGGTGGTGGATTTGCATACTATGCGGCTTCCACTTGGGTTCACTTGTGTCAATCCCTTGCGTGGCCCTGCCTGCAGGCAAGTTGCGACGCGGCGTTGGACGCGACGAGGCGAGAGGGAATGTTGAGAAGATGTACGGCAGCTTCCGTTCCGCGTGATTCGACGATGGGCAGCCGAGCGCGTTAATCCAAGAGCAGCTGCATTTTTCCAAGGCGGTGCCGAAGAGCATCCTTCCACCAGTCAGGCTGGTGCACCCGTACTGGCAAGTGTATATGGTTGTGTCCCATCTTGTGTATGCTTTAGACTCTTCTTTCGAAGGCGGCTGGGCTTGCCAGAAATGAGCCTGAGCCTGTCCTTTCAGCGGGGCGTTCGTGGATGGAGGCCGTTCATCATTTCACAGGCAAAGCTTGGCAAGGCACTGTTACTGCCTGCAGGTAGTAAAAGACAATGCTGCAGTTGAATGGCTGAAAGCGTTTATGAGCAAGTACAGGACCTCCTGATTGAGACCAGTCAAATTCAGCCAATGATCAGCTTGATGCCAGTGCCAACTTGCCAATGTCAACTTTCTTGCTCACTTGCTTGCCAGGACGCTGGAACTGCCTTCTCCGCCACACCAAGCAGGCAGGGAGCTCTCTGTGCTCACTGGTACTCATTGTGGATTTACTGTGGATTTCAGTCTGGCACAGCCGAAGCCCAAATAAGTTGCGTAAGGATTCTCTTCCAGTGCCCGCGCCATCGCCTCACACGAGCGACATGTAGATTTGCTCGAGTAAGTCCTTACAGCCTCTTGAGGTCCGAGACCTCTTGTTTCCGGAGGAGAACGTGGGCGAAAGCCTGCAAAGGTTCATGTCCTGACGGGTACTTGGGTCTATCGATACCCTGCTCCTGTGTTGAAGAAACAGTGCGCACTGGTGTTGCACAAGGCCTTGAGAAGCGATGGGAGGAGACACAAGGCACCGAAAAGGCTGCGCCCGACTATTGGTGCACTGCTGTTTGATGACCCTTGGGCCCGGACACGAAGCCTTGTGCGTGCCGGCCAACGTTCGAGAGGCGGCGGCGATGCCTGTGCAGGGACTCCGTGACCTTCCCAGGCCATCTTCACAGCCGCCTGAGGACCGTTCCAATACATGTCTGCATGTCTGTTCTTACTCGAGATGTGGTATCTTGTGGTGGACATATGCCTTGCAGGAAAGTCGTGGAATATCGTCCGTGCGCACATCGCAGAAGCCAGCACCTGATTAAAGAGAGCGAGATGGGTGTGCTGCAGAGTCTACTGTAGATGTAGCAGCGGTAGAAGTTGGCAGTTTACATCAGTTTACAAGCTTCACATTGCCGGGCGTGCCAAGACTGTGCAAGGAAGATTCGCTGCCGCAGTGCTGGCGGCGAGGATGCCCCGACTGAAGAGATTGCAGCAGCAGCTGCCTTAGTCAGACCTTAAGTACATTTTAAGTACTTCTAAGTACTTAAATGGCGGATGCCAGCTTTCAAGCAGGCCTTCTCAAGCAACACAACGCAGGCTGTTGCTCGGGCGCGACGGCGAGCTCTAGAGCAGAGACGCCGGCAGGCAGGTGTGCATTTTGAAGCTACGACTACTGAGTTCATGTCCGGCTATGCTTGCACGACCAAGGGCGTGGCCAGGCGAAACTCTATCAGCACACAAACAATGTCGTCTTGGAAAGCACGAACGTAGCGCTTATATGCGCTTATGCTTGGAGGCATTGGGTACTGTCTTCCTGTCCTCATTCCCCTTTCCAGATAGTGCCACTAACCAGGCAGCGACTCAGACTCTTGAGAGGCAATATGAGCTTCGTAGCAGCTTGTGAGATGTTTTTAAGTATCGCCGTTTAAATCAAAATATGGGAGACACATGCATGAACAGGCCACCCCCACACACACACACACACACACACACACACGTGCAATCTCTCTCTCTCTCACACACACACACCCACACCCACACCCACACCCACACCCACACCCACACCCACACCCACACCCACACCCACACCCACACCCACACCCACACCCACACCCACACCCACGCAGGTCGACACGCAGGTCGACACGCAGGTCGACACGCAGGTCGACACGCAGGTCGACGCCGCGCAGGTCGTCGACGCGCAGGTCGTCGACGCGCAGGTCGTCGACGCGCAGGTCGTCGACGCGCAGGTCGTCGACGCGCAGGTCGTCGACGCGCAGGTCGTCGACGCGCAGGTCGTCGACGCGCAGGTCGTCGACGCGCAGGTCGTCGACGCGCAGGTCGACGCGCAGGTCGACGCGCAGGTCGACGCGCAGGTCGACACGCAGGTCGACACGCAGACACGCAGACACGCAAACACACACCCACACAAAGCACAAAGCACAAAACACAAAACACAAAAACACAAAAACACAAAAAACACAAACACACACACACACACACACATACAAAACACAAAACACACAACACAAAACACAAAGCACAAAACACAAAACACACAACACACAACACAAAGCACAAAACGCAAAACACAAAACACAAAACACAAAGCACAAAACACAAAACACAAAACACAAGACGCAAAACACAAAACACAAAGCACAAAACACAAAACACAAAACACAAAACACAAACACAAACACAAAACACACAACACACAACACACAACACAAAACACAAAACACAGAACACAGAACACAAAACACAAAACACAGAACACAAAGCACAAAACACAAAACACAAAAACACAAAAACACACACACACACACACATACATACAAAACACAAAACACAAAACACACAACACAAAAAACACACACACACAACACACACAACACACACACAAAACACACAAAACACACAAAACACACAAAACACACAAAACACACAAAACACACAAAACACACAAAACACACAAAACACACAAAGCACACAAAGCACACAAAACACACAAAACACGCAAACACGCAAAACACACAAAATACACAAAATACACAAAACACAAAAAACACACACACACACACACACACACACACACACACACACACACACTCCCAACGCAAGGCGCCTTCCTTGCTAGGTGGTAGGCGTGGCTTTGTGGGGGGGGGGGGGGGGGCAGGAGCCTGAAAGAGGATTCGTGAGAATTCATGGAGCACACTCGTATGAAACTTTTTCTGAAATCAATAACTCCACCCCACCAGCCCCCAACAAGCGAGCCAGGCCCAGACCGAGGAGGCGGAGGCCCGAGCCTGGCGACGAGAGGTGCGAAGGACGTTTCAAGATGTTTCAAGTGCGTTTGGTTTGGACTGGGCTTGGCGTCGGCGCAAGGTTCCGTGTGGACCTTCTTGCAAGACTCATGGAGTTTCGAAGGGACGCAGTTCTCTCTAACAGACATTGCTAGGGTCCCTATATTATAGCTACGCTGAGGGCCATGGCGGTTTCTTGTTAAGGTTCAAGGGTTGAGATGACTTCTAAATGACTTGCAACATCTGCTTCAGTTGACCCTACCTTGCCTGCACTGCGCATCACTGCGTCCCGTGTCCGCATCAGTGAGTCAGTGTGATCACCCCTGCAGCGCTACGGCAAGCGGGACGAGCGCCTTGCTCGCTTCATCTTGGAGGAGCAGAAGGCTGGAGAGGGCTGCAGAGAGCAGTTTGGGGGCCTGGTCACGTGCTCTACCCATCGGGCTCTACCCCTCGGACTCTACCCATCGGGCAGGTCAAGTCGGCGAAGCCAGATGCAAGAGCTGCGAAGAAGGTGCGAGAGTAAATTTCCGCAGCTCCTAGTTTGTAGTTGCAATGGACATCCTAAAGCTGGTTAGCATAGGGTGCAGCCTTCACACCTGTTCTTCGCTTGAAGCAGCAGAGAGGGGCAATCACATCGCTTGTCACCATCTCGATCCGAGCATCGTTGCGTACTTGTCTCCCGGCAGAGGTGAAGCCACGCAGCCGATCAAGCTGCTCGCTTGGACCCTCACCTAGCAATTTGCTGATTGCCCTGGGGATCACTGATTTCAAACTTCGTAAACGGCTCCTAATGCTCAACGCTGTTGCTGAGGCGCAGGGTTGGGTCTGGACGCCGCTCATCTGGACTTGCTGATCGCCGAGGGAGCACTTTTGCAGCAGCTTCATCCCGGAGAGAATTTCACTTCATCTGTCGTTTTACTGTCTTTAGTGAGCGCCTTGACGAGGATGTGGATCTTTCGTTTACCTGATGTACATGAGCAGATCTGAGACGCCTCGAGCACTTACCACATCTCCAGATGGTCGCCTATCTTCGCAAGTACTAGGTTTCGGGTATTTCATGTGCTTCACTCTGGGTCATTCTGCAAAACTCTGCAAACATCCACAACATGCAAACATCTGCAAAGTCAGAGGCTTGCGTAGCCAAAAGGCGTACCATGGCGGCGTGCCATTGTCTCAGCGCTAGCCGCTAGCCGCTAGCCGCTAGCCGCCCGAAAGGTCCCAGTAGAAAGCACGCACATCCTCTGCAGCTGATTGGCACATTTGAAGATTGTTGCGAAAGAAGACTCCGTCCTGAAAGTTCTTGAAAGCACTATTGAAGGATTCGCTTCTTGAGGGATGTTCTACCTCCATCAGCACCGGCGTTTGCCGTAACCCTGCACCTAAACCGGAATGATCGATGTCAATGAAAGCCTGATGCCATGCTGCCGTGCCGGCGCTCCTTGGAGCTCAGGCCAGGCCTTGGACGATGTTGTACTAGAAACACCGTACCGTCCACAGCTACATCATGTTTACATCATGTCTATATGTTTCTGCAGTCTGCGGCTTGGCCTGACTCACTTGGCGCGTGCCTGTATGGGCATGACATGTGATTCGCGGTCCATCCGAGAAGGTGTCGGCAGTTGTGCACCCACCTGCACCCTGAAGGTTTTCTTCTCGACGAGGTACTCTGACATGTTTTGTCGCCAGCCTGCAACGCGCCATTCGCTGGACATCCCGGGCGTGCCGGGCTCATGGCGCAGCAAGTGAACACCGTCGCGTGGAATTGCTCCAGTCTGTATAGCAGTTCCAGCAGAATCGGGGCAGATAGACCGAGATTGAATACAACCAACCATGTTGGCTTCTTCGCAAGATTTTCAAGACGTACCTCTTATGGTCGATGGCGGATAAGTTTGACAAGAACAAAGCTGTTGAAAAATGTGAGTCCACACATTAGGCGTAGATCTGCCACAAAAGCCTTTGTGGGCTTCGAAGTCAATTTGGGGGCTCCACCAAAGGCGGGCTTTGTAGGTGCCTCCTGCACGTTTTTGTGGCTAAGCCTAGCGCCTGACGGACGCCCGGCAACTCCGAGCCAAACCCTGGAGCAGACCGAAACGCCTTGGAAGGCAATGCCCCCCCCGCCCGAGAGAATCAGCACTTAGACATCATCTTGCTGCACAGTGCGGTTGCGCCCAGGTGCCCCACGGACATGCTTGCGGGCCCAGGTGCTTCCCTCGATGGGTATATGCACCGCTGTTTGCGCACCGCTAGAAGTCATATAGACTTTGTATATAGTGTTGTGGACTGACATATGCAAACCCCTGTGCTGGGCAACATTGGGGCATTTGGCCATTTTTGGCCATTTCAGCAGCCTGAAGCTGGCATGTGCGAGTGCCTCCCCGTGCTGTAATTTGCTATGCTCGCAGCCTCCGGAACAGCCCAGGTTCCATTTTCAGATACATGTGTTTGAGCCGAAGGCAAACAAGCAATGTGTTGATCTTCAGACAAAATTGCTTAATCCTTGGCATGTTTTATGATCCTTCACCCAAGGCTGCACTTTGGACTTTCAGCATGATGAAGCCAGTGGTCTTAGAAAGTCTCTGATCAGGGCCAGTCGCAAGATACACAGATAGCTAGATATGGTGACTTCGCAGTTTTGGTGCTTGCTGCTGCCCTATTCTGCCCTAGAACCTTTTTGCAGGCTGGCGGCGCGACGCGAGCGGCTCTCACCTTGTCTCGTTGGGCTGCCAGTGGTGTGGATTTACCATGTCCGATCGCAGAGGCCACTCGAGGTTTTTCTTCCTAGAGATCGGGATCAAGATAATCAAGTGCGCATTCGGCACGTGCCACTTGATGCTTGCAGGTGTGCTGTCACGCAAAAGCAACGGAACCACCCTCAGACTTCAATAGCTCAAGAGTCAGGATGTTTGGGTTCTAGGAGACTTTCCGAAGATCATGCAGCCAAGGTTGCGCCAGCTGCCCGCTTTCAAGAGAGTGACTAGAGCCTTCGAGGTTCATCTCTGCACCTTGGCTTCGATGATGTGCCTCAATAAGTTTAAAAATGGACCTCAGGGTGCCTGAAGCACTTGCTTTGCTCCGATGGATCCTACATGGTGTGGCATGGCCATGTGTGGCCTTATTAGTACTTACCAGGAGAGCTCTTCTCATGCGGATCTCAAAAATTGTCACAAATGACTACTCCGGTACTGCATGCCAAGCAACTCCGCTCCCCAATACGCAGCCTACGCATTCCGCGCTTTCCGAGGTGCCAGAGGGGGAGATGTTATCGACGGCAACCACCCTCTAAAGAATGTGCCTCGACGCCTTGAAACAAGGCGATGGCTAGACGGACGCATTCGTTCGCTCGTTATGGATGCCTACCTCGACTACCTTGACAATCAAGCAGTGGAATCAGTGATTTGGATCGCAGCTGATGTGCACGAGTGTGATGCGTATGAGTGTGAGACTTCCTAACTTAATACATTAGTGAGTCTATTTAGTTTCGAAGACATTGTACCTTACAGCTTGACGCAGATGTTGGCAGCAGGCGGCAGCCCGCAGTTGCCGTCACTGCTACCAAGCAAACGGGGTGTTGAGATGTACCACACGACCGAGGGCGGTGAACATGTCCTGAGTCCTACCCATCGGCTCGCGCAGATGTTCTCAGACATCTAGGCGACGGTAGCACTGAGACCGCTGATATCCAGCGCCGTTGGGTCAAACTGCCAAAGCCGGTGATGAATAAACAAACAAACGCCGCGTGACAGCTTAAAATTTCAGACATCTGGGTCATGTTGCAACGAGAATTAATTGATCTTCAGGTCTCGATGTCGAGGCTGCTCCGGGAAGCACTTCGATTGCCAACTTCTCAGTAACTGAAGAGGAGGCTGATGTGGGAGACTGATTGGTGTTGCAGCATTTTGGCACTGTTCTTGGGTCAAGCGACTGCCCAGGTACTCCCAGATCTCCTTCCAGAGGCAGCTAGCCATGCTCGTGGCAAAATGGAAGGAGCTGAGCGAAAAGCAAGGCTCGCAACTGCATGTGGAATTTGTGGCCCATGCTGCAGAGCGTGAGCACACTGCAAAAGCACACGGTTTTCCGAGTCATCATCGTGCTGTGAGACACATTGAGACACATTGAGACACAAAGAGCCCCATGACACCGGCGTTGCGCAAGGCATCGCGGTCACTGAGCCTGAGACATGGAGTGGGTGTCCCTAGCCGTCGCGCGATGTCGGCCTGTGAGTTGCATCGTTCTCCGGTCTTCTTGCAATCACTTGGCAGCCGCGGCACGACCTGAATTGCTGAGGTTCAGACTTTGAGATCTTGCAGGAAAAGGCACGGTGGCAAACCATTGCAAAGCTGTGGGTGCAAATGCTGTGCCCCAAACATGCGAGGCACCAGAGCCCCTTTGCTGGCGCAAAATGGAGAACACTGCGGGCTTGACAGTCGCTGCTGCCGATGTGCTGTTTTGGAAACACAGCCTGGACAGCAAGGACAACCTGCACAAATGGGACAACTTGGGTGTGGGAAGTTCCTGTCAGTGACATGCGCATGTTGAAGACAAGTTGGCATGAGGGCTCACAGCTTTTTGATTTGTTTCCGGCTCTGCCCGCATGGTGTACAATATGTTGATTCTTGGGACGCGAAAATTCACATGGCTCACGGCATGCCCCTGTGGCATTACGAAATTGCTGTCAGCCACACATGCAAGTGAGAGGAGTTTTGCTACTCAGCCAGTCCTTGCAAAACGAGTTCGTCCTGTGCTTTTTCAGGACGCCCGAGGTCGGACAAGTCGTCGGACGAGTCGAGCGAACAGAGGATTTGCAACCCAGTCTGACGGCGTTGAGAAGTCCTCGGAGGCGGGAAAAGACGAAAAAGGATGTGTGGAACGTTTCAGAACCATCATGGTATGTGGGCCTGCAGGAGCTGAAGCCCTCGGGCAAGGATCTGGACATGCCGCCTGGCACGACCCCCCAAGACGATCAAGACGGCTCGAAGTTGGTTCTACGTGTTGTCTTTGTGTCGTTTGTTTGTGTTGTGAGGGTGCTAGGACAGTTCTGGCAGATCTGACAATTGGAGTTCCAAACACGATATCGTAAGAGACTACAAGATCAATAGGGGTGATCCCTGACCCCCGGGTTACTGCACTCTAGACCTTTGGCGTCTACCAGGTGCGAGCTTGTGGGGGCAACCGTCAACTATCTGCTGCCGGCGATGGCTGAACGTATGCCAGGCAACGAGCCCGTTCGATTACTTCTGCCGCAGGTGGGCGGAGGGCCTGAACAAATGAAACCTTGGTTTTCACATCACGTACGTTTGGGTCGTCATGCAGCGCACGGGTGAATCTTCAGAAACAAGCAAAGAGGAGATGGAGAAGACTGCTGGACGCCGTATCTTCGAGGACACTAGCACAGAATGTAGTGCATCCATTAGACCACCGCGGGCCCACCTTGTTTTCCAGAAGTTCGGACGGCTGGAACATGCTGGAACTGCCTAAGAGCCGGGTGCCTCCAGGCCTTCTCGAACGAAGACCGGGGATGTCAGCTTGAGGCCTTGCTTCTTAACTGACTTACAGCTCATGGACAAGCAGGGAACGACATTCAGGCAGCAGGATGCATCGATCTTGTGCTCCCTTGCATCTGCTGGGCAGGTTCAGACCTTTTCAGGCTGTCCAACCTGGGACCAGCTCGTGACGGAAAGCCATTGCATGGCCAGACACCTAGGTTTCCCTTTGGTGCAATTCCCAAACCATGAATCCATCTGCTCTCCGAGAATGGCAGGTCTGTGTGTACCGGGAAGCCACGGTGCCAGCCAGCTCTGAGTGCTGGACTTTGCCTGTGGACAGCATGCACAGCACGAGGCCTCAGCAAGCGGCTGATGCTTGACCATGTTCACATTTGAAATCATTTGAAGTTTTTGCAGCTGTAGGACTCGAATCATCTCAAGGCCCACAATCCACAACCTTTGAGAAATCATGCAGCATGATGCGTACTGCAGGAATGTATAGGGCTATAGCCGATGCCTACGTGGAAGATCTGAGCAGAAGTAACGTAGCTGGCGCAGAGATTGTTCAAGTCGTCAACAAGTCAACAATGTGCAGGGCAGTCGCCGCGGCACCCGTCGCTGCGGCGCCCGTCCTGGTGGTTTCAATTCTCGAGCACGGTGCTCCTTGGATCACACCAGGTTGAGCGTGAGTCTGCATTCTTACCTCCGCACAGCTCGTAGCATCTCGCAGCCATAGACTCCATAGAAACTTGGTACATGTTGTCGCAGATCACGTCATTGTCATGGTGTCACAGCCATCCCCAGCATGGGTTGTTGCCCTTCCTGGCCGAAGCCGGTTCCTGCTAACAAGCTTCTCTGGGTGCGAGTCGGTTCTGGGGCGCCCAGGGTGCCTTGGGCAGCTAAGGTTCGGATGAACTTCCCAGGCGCTCCGCGAGACTTGAGCTCGTTTACCTGAAAAGCCATGGTATTATCTGCTCTAACTCAGTGACTTTGCAAAACTGTTGCAATGGCTCCGAATGGCCCCGATCCAGGCACCTACAATAAGATGTCGCAGTGGCTCCAACAAGCCTTCGAGACTGACTTCGAGGAGCAGCATTGTTGCCACTCCTGGGGCCGTGGGAAAAGGGGGCGTTTGGGCTCGAGCCTTTTGAGAACTATCGTAGCAAGCATACACAAGTCATTGTATGTGAGCGTTGATCTAAAGGTCCTTGTGTGGCATTTAGTAGGCGGGTACCCACACGGCATTGAGCAATGCCTCCGCGAAAGATCCGCGTTGGAATTGCGAAATTTGAATTTTTTTCGCGACAGTTCTTACGTAGCCCAAGTTATGTTCCATGTTGCCATCAGCGTCTTCCAGGCTTTCAGTTTCCTGCCTGACTGCCCGGGTGGCTCCGAAGTACTCGCAGAGCCAAGGGGCTCGCCTGATCACCCCAAGTCCTCAAGCCGAGAACTTCTCCGTAGCCTCTCAAACTAGAGTCTCCTCAAACACTCAACTATGCTCTCATGCGCAGCGCAACTGAAGCACCTGCGTGCAGAGTTTGCAGCCTCAAGATCCTGAAGCAGTTCTCAGGGCTGGATATTTGGGGAAGGTTCCGCGTAAGCCCCGCGTAAGTCCAGGTAGCCCAAGGACGGCACTCATCTGAGGTGCGTGTTGGCTGCTATTGGGATTCATACCTCTGAGATAGTGTAACCAATCCAGGAACTGCAGGGACCTGTACAGTATGGTCCTGGGCTTGAACCCTGAGCCTGGAACCCTGGACCCTAAACCCTAAACCCCAACCCTTAACGCTCAAATGTGGCTTGTTGAATCTTAGGGATCTAGACGTTGATCTGGGCCAATAGCATAAACCTGCACCGCGATGGGACCGCGAAAGTTTTGCGAAAGTTTATTTTGTTCACGAAGATGCTTCTTTCGGGAGGAAAGAATTTAGATCACAGCTCATGTATCATAACGCGAAGCCGCTTGCCTTATGAGGAAAATTAAGGTGTTCGCCCCGATCACGCGCTTGTTCATGATGGGTCGTGTGGTCGCCTCATAGGTTTAAGTTGAAGGAGGTCCGGTGGGATTGATGACACGAAGGTTGTGTCTCCAGTCAGAATCGTCCTGGGCGACCTGGGCCGTTAGTGAGCATTGCAGTCGACTGTTCTGACAGGATCAAGAGCCAGCGGATTTCTTCTCGCAGCTTTCGCAGGTGTTTGCATCCAAGCTTCTTGGCTGAGTGAGGGGAATGGAACGGAGAGCAGGGTCTGAAAGCTTCTGTGGGTTCGGCACCTTTTCCCGAAAGCACCGCCAAGGGTTCTTCGGAAAGAAGCGCTTGCCCTGCTCGCATCGCAGCAACTACACCGCACCAGGTACACCACCACACCGCACCACCACCACACCACACCACCTACACACCAAGCACTACCGCACCACCTACGCCTCTATCTAATTCTATCTTATTTCTTAGCCTTGGGTAGGGTTGTTGGGGGCCAGCGCGACGCACCCCTCTGCTGGGATCGTGCGTGTCGAAGCGCTCTTGCTGTGTGTTTTTGCGCAATTGTCAAGCGAACCCTCTGCGGGGACTCGGGCCCGGATTTGGCTAGAACCGCCAAGATGCGGTTCAAATGTTTCACTTTGCCGTTGGACTGCTTCAAGCTCAAGCGGCTGTGCTGAGGTGCCTGCGAGCAAACAAAACAAGAAAGAGCCTTGATACGCGACCCTAGCGATGGCGCTCGCTCTAGCGTCTACAGCGCACCAAGACCACAACACCTACACCACACTACTTCTTCGCACCCACACCGTGCCACGACCACCACACTTACAACACTGCCAGATACGCGTCCCTTGCAAATGTCGAAATGATTGCTTTCGGGAGAATCGGTGTCTAGTTCTGAGGCTTGGCGACGATGCTGAAAGATTTCTTGGTTCAAGGTGCTTCCATGTTTATAGATTCCGATAGCTGACAATGACTGGCATCGGTCGAGCGAAGAGAGAAAATGGCAAGTGCCACCATCCTCGATGCCTTGCAGGGTGAAGTGTTCGGCTGCTTCTGCGACCCTCCAGTCGAAGCTTTCCATTGTGATCAAGAAGGCCTGGTCATTATTGGCAAGCTTAGTGGTCGTGTGTATGGAAGCACGAAGACGTGTGGAAGAGACGACAGAAAGTTGAAGTTATTCAAGGCCTAGGCCAGGATCACGGCAGACCAAGTCCAGATTTCGCAGAATTCTCAACCTAGCAGCTTGCACAGGATAGGGCGCTATAGGCTACAGAGCACTGGAGCCGTGAAAACACCGATGCTCAGGCCTATGGTGCCTCATGGATGAAGCTCGTGACTGCAAGGCCGTACTGGGCTGCAGGACAGAAGCTTGCCAAGCGGGCCAAGCGTGGATCGCCAAACAGGTTGCAACAGCTCGAAGCCGGCAGGAAGGATGCCCAGCTCCTGCTGCGCAGGCTTGCACATGCCTACTCAGTTTGACTGCCACTTGTGGGGCGTTCTTGCATTGGCTCAGGATGAGCACTCAGCAACCAGTGCCAGTAACACCGAAGAACCATTGTTCCGGGCCGGGCCTCCACTTTGAGCACAATACTGTGACAGGTGTACTGTTGGATTCTCAGGAACCTAAGATGCACAATTGCATTTTAGGCAGGGTAACTCCTTGTTCGTGGTTCCACACTAGAACAAGCGGACAAGCGGTGGAACTTTGTCGCAAAGTTGAGAGGCAGAGGGAGCGAGATGCTGCAGCAGCGATCATGCTGGCTGATCTCGCCAAGGCAAGCATGTGAACCGGTGCCGACACTTTGCTGTAGCATGCATGCAGTAGTGTAGATTCAGACATGTGTAGGCAACTGTGAACAAGTGTGGACCATGGGCAAGACCTTGCGAGAGGCAGTGCAGAGCCTTGACGTTGAGAAGTTCCAGAAGAAGAGCCGTGTGGCACAGCGGGAGCAGCTGTTGACGACGACGAGACTGTAAGAAACCGAGTTCATCATAGACAAACCATTGTGCGCTCTACCAGGAGAGGTTGAACTGGCCAAGCATGCACGGCATGCATGTTCAGAGCCGGTATTCTTTAAGGGAATCGCTGCAAGAGCAGATGGCGCTTGCTATTGGAGCTGCGCAGGCTCAGCAGAGTTGAGCTTTCCGCAGGGTGATGAGCAAGAAATGCAGTGCCGCTGTCGGGTTGCCCTTGTTGTACAAAAGCAGGCTCCAATCAAGCAACTGGCCGACACCTGCTGCAGCGACATCGAGGAGGCATTGAATGTGGAGGCCTTGCACCCCCCCCTGCCCCCAGATCTTACAGGAAATGCATGGTCTTGCGACGTCGTGTTCCAGCATCCAAAATCCTCCAGCTGCTGACATGTAGAGACATTAGAGATCTTCCCTGACACTTGATACTGAAAAGGCGCCCCTTGTCTGAGACTGCCTCAACTCATTAGACTCCTCCTGCCTGGCAGTTAAGCTGAACATGTGGCGAGTCTTTGTCGCAGGTGCTGGGAGCGTTGAGGACTGAGCTGGCAAGAACACAGCTCACGATGTCTGATCCATGGCTGCAGGCCAGGCCCTCGATTTTCCGCGATAAACCCTGAACAAGCCCCCAAAGCATTTTTTGTGCCATCTCAGCCAAAAGAGTGCCTGGTGTTGAAGTGCCGGTGCCAGGCAGGGCTTGAGTTGAAGCTGGCCTTGGAGGCAGGGAATAGGCTCCATAGGTCGAATCTTCGGTACGATCCTGTTGGAGAGGGGGGGCTACTGCCAGGTGCCAACAACCAAGATTTCCCATAACCCTACAACTGCGCTCTTGCTCCCCTTGCCGCTTCCCAAGCGGCAACCTCAACATGTTGGGAAGCCCACTTGGAGGGAACATGGGTGAACCTTCGGTGTCGGTGGCAGCTCGGCACCTGCAGCTTATATTGGCTTCAGACCATGAGACCGTGCGCCCGCGCGGTCTGCACCCACTGCGGCTGCAACGTCAGCCTGCTGGGGCTGGATGGCCTGGGCATCCTTCGCAGGAAGCATGAGAGGCAGTGCCGCCGATCCGATGCACAGCCAAGCAAGCGGTTGCCGTTGCTGCCGCGAGTCGACATCTCCGTGGACGTGCGGATCTTGTCCAGCGAGGACATGGCGCGGATGCTCTCGCTAACGCCAAACGAGCTGCGTGAGATCAAGAGAGTTGACCCAGAGTTGGCCAAGGAGGTCATGAGCGTGGCAGTGGTGGGGTGGCGCCCGGGAATCGATGCAGAAGCCACCCTGCGTCCGGCCATGGCCATGGGGCCTGGAGATGGCGACAAGATCATGGTCCAGGCGCGGGCTCCGCGCATCCCCGTCCCCGTCGTGCAGTCGGTGCAGGTGGATTGCTTGGACACCTCGTTTCTAACGAACAAGCATTGGGGGGGCATGGTAGCGGGCATGGAGGACTTCGACGCAGTCGCGGTGGAGCGATGTGAGAAGATGCAGCTTCTCGCACGGCGGCTTGCTGCTCATGCGATGACCAGCCGAGGCGGTGGCTGAAGCATCTGCTGAAGCCACTCTGTGGCAAAAGGCGACGAATGATGTGTTTCAAGCCCATTTCTGTTCAAAACAGAGGAGAGCCGTTTCACCCCACACTGCTCCTTCAAGGAGGCGGGACTGGCGCTGCAAGCAAAAATGCCGCTCTGGGTTTTCTGGCGCTCCATATCGTGCTTGCAGCCTTGTCGAAGACACGCCAAGACATGATGCCCCAAAATATTTACGTCTCCACATCACCAAAGAGAGCTAATCCCAGCCGCTCAGAGAGAAGTAAAGGGGCTATTGTATCCAAGCACTTCTTCCCTCCCTTACCCCCCCCGTCCCCCTTGCCTTCTTCCTCCCAACCTCTCTTCCCTCAGGTGCGGCTCAAAGCACCCTACACATCGCAACGCATCACATAGCTTGTCTGCCTCTTGTCTGGCTTCAAACTGCATCCAGAACCAGGGCCCTTGGTGCCCCTGCATGTTTTCTCTTTCCAAGCTGGCTGTGCATGCAAACCTTCGTCAATGCAGAAACGTATCCTAGTTGTGCACGTTCAGAACCTTTCCGATTACGAAGCACATGAAGCACGCTCAGCGCTGCTAGCTACTGGCAAGGCCCGCTTGCCTTGGACGTAAGGAGCATCTTCGCTGATGGCTCTAGCATCGTCTTCCGCCTGGTAGATTGCAGATGTCAGAGTTCTGCAATGTTGCGCACATTCAGGGCGAGGGGTGTCCCCATCTCCAGTACTCCGCATCACAGCTGCCGTCGAATCTTTCAGTCGTGCAAGAGAAGGGGCAATCTGAAGCATGCCGCTGACGGTTCTCATGATTGTGCAACATTGTGCAGCATTTAGCTTGTTGGAGCAAGTGCTAAGTGGCTTCTAAGTACTAGCGCCTTCATGTTTGCTCTTAGTCAACAGCCATGCGGGCTCCTGAGTCGACCAACTGTTCGTCACCTTGAGTGTCGAATGATTTTCTGGGGTTCTTGGATGAGCGCGTGGTCCTACTAGATCCTGCTACCCCATCGGGCTGCGCTACGACGCGTGTCTTTTTGGTCTTTTTTGGGTGCATCAGCGCGCTTCGAACGCAAGCAGTTTCACTGAAAGAATCGCCCAAGCTTCACCAGGCTGATAACGTTTCTATTGGTTAATCCTGGCTTGAAGCCAGCCTCGAGATGCCAATGCTCGGCCCGAGTGTCCTCGTTGATTGACACTGGCAGTCGCCGAGCGTGAGACGGGATGGATTGATTGCGGCTTGCACCTAGTGAAGCGAAAAGAGCGGTCTTCCCTTGAGCAAGAAGCGTTGCGTGGATGGTGTCCGCACAGTTGGTCCTCATGATGAGATGGGGAGCAGGTCCAAGCTTCGTAGCTCACTAGATGTTGCCATTGGCGTTGTTTGAGACTTCAAGATTCACACCGCTTCAACCCTGCAGCCTATATTGGCTTCTTAAAACTGATGCGATGCAGACCTCTGGTCTGCATTCTGCATCGCGTCAGCTTTTAGAAGCCAATAGAAGCTGCAGGGTTGAAGCAGCGCGCTTCGAATGCATAACGTTTCTATTGGTTAATCCTGGCTTGAAGCCAGCCTCGAGATGCCAATAGCTCTGCTCGGCCCGAGTGTCCTCGTTGATTGACACTGGCAGTCGCCGAGCGTGAGACGGGATGGATTGATTGCGGCTTGAGCCTAGTGAAGCGAAAAGAGCCGTCTTCCCTTGAGCAAGAAGCATTGCGTGGATGGTGTCCGCACAGTTGGTCCTCATGATGAGATGGGGAGCAGGTCCAAGCTTCGTAGCTCACTAGATGTTGCCATTGGCGTTGTTTGAGACTTCAAGATTCACACCGCTTCAACCCTGCAGCTTCTATTGGCTTCTGAAAGCTGATGCGATGCAGACCATGAGACCGTGCGCCCGCGCGGTCTGCACCCACTGCGGCTGCAACGTCAGCCTGCTGGGGCTGGATGGCCTGGGCATCCTTCGCAGGAAGCATGAGAGGCAGTGCCGCCGATCCGATGCACAGCCAAGCAAGCGGTTGCCGTTGCTGCCGCGAGTCGACATCTCCGTGGACGTGCGGATCTTGTCCAGCGAGGACATGGCGCGGATGCTCTCGCTAACGCCAAACGAGCTGCGTGAGATCAAGAGAGTTGACCCAGAGTTGGCCAAGGAGGTCATGAGCGTGGCAGTGGTGGGGTGGCGCCCGGGAATCGATGCAGAAGCCACCCTGCGTCTGGCCATGGCCATGGGGCCTGGAGATGGCGACAAGATCATGGTCCAGGCGCGGGCTCCGCGCATCCCCGTCCCAGTCGTGCAGTCGGTGCAGGTGGATTGCTTGGACACCTCGTTTCTAACGAACAAGCATTGGGGGGGCATGGTAGCGGGCATGGAGGACTTCGACGCAGTCGCGGTGGAGCGATGTGAGAAGATGCAGCTTCTCGCACGGCGGCTTGCTGCTCATGCGATGACCAGCCGAGGCGGTGGCTGAAGCATCTGCTGAAGCCACACTGTGGCAAAAGGCGACTAATGATGTGTTTCAAGCCCATTTCTGTTCAAAGCAGAGGAGAGCCGTTTCACCCCACACTGCTCCTCAAGGAGGCGGGACTGGCACTGCAAGCAAAAATGCCGCTCTGGGTTTTCTGGCGCTCCATATCGTGCTTGCAGCCTTGTCGAAGACACGCCAAGACATGATGCCCCAAAATATTTACGTCTCCACATCACCAAAGAGAGCTAATCCCAGCCGCTCAGAGAGAAGTAAAGGGGCTATTGTATCCAAGCACTTCTTCCCCTCCCTTACCCCCCCGTCCCCCTTGCCTTCTTCCTCCCAACCTCTCTTCGTCTTCTCTTGAGCATTGCGTGGATGGTGTCCGCACAGTTGGTCCTCATGATGAGATGGGGAGCAGGTCCAAGCTTCGTAGCTCACTAGATGTTGCCATTGGCGTTGTTTGAGACTTCAAGATTCACACCGCTTCAACCCTGCAGCCTATATTGGCTTCTTAAAACTGACGCGATGCAGACCCATGGTCTGCATTCTGCATCGCGTCAGTTTTTAGAAGCCAATAGAAGCTGCAGGGTTGAAGCAGCGCGCTTCGAATGTAAGCAGTTTCACTGAAAGAATCGCCCAAGCTTCACCAGGGTGATAACGTTTCTATTGGTTAATCCTGGCTTGAAGCCAGCCTCGAGATGCCAATACTCGGCCCGAGTGTCCTCGTTGATTGACACTGGCAGTCGCCGAGCGTGAGACGGGATGGATTGATTGCGGCTTGCACCTAGTGAAGCGAAAAGAGCGGTCTTCCCTTGAGCAAGAAGCATTGCGTGGATGGTGTCCGCACAGTTGGTCCTCATGATGAGATGGGGAGCAGGTCCAAGCTTCGTAGCTCACTAGATGTTGCCATTGGCGTTGTTTGAAACTTCAAGATTCACACCGCTTCAACCCTGTAGCCTATATTGGCTTCTTAAAACTGACGCGATGCAGACCCATGGTCTGCATTCTGCATCGCGTCAGTTTTTAGAAGCCAATAGAAGCTGCAGGGTTGAAGCAGCGCGCTTCGAATGCAAGCAGTTTCACTGAAAGAATCGCCCAAGCTTCACCAGGGTGATAACGTTTCTATTGGTTAATCCTGGCTTGAAGCCAGCCTCGAGATGCCAATACTCGGCCCGAGTGTCCTCGTTGATTGACACTGGCAGTCGCCGAGCGTGAGACGGGATGGATTGATTGCGGCTTGCACCTAGTGAAGCGAAAAGAGCGGTCTTCCCTTGAGCAAGAAGCATTGCGTGGATGGTGTCCGCACAGTTGGTCCTCATGATGAGATGGGGAGCAGGTCCAAGCTTCGTAGCTCACTAGATGTTGCCGTTGGCGTTGTTCAACCCTGCAGCTTCTATTGGCTTCTGAAAGCTGATGCGATGCAGACCATGAGACCGTGCGCCCGCGCGGTCTGCACCCACTGCGGCTGCAACGTCAGCCTGCTGGGGCTGGATGGCCCGGGCATCCTTCGCAGGAAGCATGAGAGGCAGTGCCGCCGATCCGATGCACAGCCAAGCAGGCGGTTGCCGTCGCGAGTCGACATCTCCGTGGACGTGCGGATCTTGTCCAGCGAGGACATGGCGCGGATGCTCTCGCTAACGCCAAACGAGCTGCGTGAGATCAAGAGAGTTGACCCAGAGTTGGCCAAGGAGGTCATGAGCGTGGCAGTGGTGGGGTGGCGCCCGGGAATCGATGCAGAAGCCACCCTGCGTCCGGCCATGGCCATGGGGCCTGGAGATGGCGACAAGATCATGGTCCAGGCGCGGGCTCCGCGCATCCCCGTCCCAGTCGTGCAGTCGGTGCAGGTGGATTGCTTGGACACCTCGTTTCTAACGAACAAGCATTGGGGGGGCATGGTAGCGGGCATGGAGGACTTCGACGCAGTCGCGGTGGAGCGATGTGAGAAGATGCAGCTTCTCGCACGGCGGCTTGCTGCTCATGCGATGACCAGCCGAGGCGGTGGCTGAAGCATCTGCTGAAGCCACACTGTGGCAAAAGGCGACTAATGATGTGTTTCAAGCCCATTTCTGTTCAAAGCAGAGGAGAGCCGTTTCACCCCACACTGCTCCTTCAAGGAGGCGGGACTGGCACTGCAAGCAAAAATGCCGCTCTGGGTTTTCTGGCGCTCCATATCGTGCTTGCAGCCTTGTCGAAGACATGCCAAGACATGATGCCCCAAAATATTTACGTCTCCACATCAGAGAAGGAGGGCCAGCACTTAAGTGTCAACTGGGGTTTGACAGTCTGGTTCACGTGCAGCTCGATGTGGTAACTTCTCTCTAAGTTATGGACCCTCTTCAGGTACCCTAAACAAAAGGGGTCGCCTGATGACAAAGACCCCAAAATGGACCATATTTCAGGGAAGTGATCATGTATCTAGTTGCAGTTCAGCTCACCAGCAGTGACAATACGATTAAGATAATGCGGGTTGACATGTGTTGCGGCTGCGCAGGCCCTGCATCAGCTGCATATTGACATGAGTGAGTTTCTCAACTCGCACAGCTCCACAGCGCCTGTGCCTTATGAGATCACGATCCTGGCGCCGGTAAAGCATGCGCTCATGTGGAGTTTTGATTTGTGTCGAACCCAGGTCTGCGTCGTCTACGCCTAGTGAGATGCCAGGTGAAGGTAACACTTCCCAGACCTTGCATGAGGGAACTTGATTTTCAGCGCCGTTCAATGTACATGTGCACGAGCAGGGCTGTTAATGTAGTCAGGCGGAGACGCCGCCGGTAGCGCAGATGCATAGTTTGCAGAGGTACGGACTCCAACTCCGAAGCACTGGCAAGGCTTGCGAAGGACGAACATGCTCAAGTGCAAAGCGTCAGCTTCCCGTGTTCGAACATCCTTCCGCAGAACCTGGGCACACTTTGGTGCACAAGGGTTGTGCAGGTGTCCTTCCTTGCTTATATCGTCAGCACAGTCTGTGCAACCTCGATTTGCCCGTCCTTGAATTCTCATGCCCCGGGCCTTCGGGTAGCAGTTTCGAACAGGTTATTCTCCGCATCCTCCAAGTGTTTTTGAGTGACGGTCGTCCGTATCTCTGTTCAGGACCTGACAGAAGCAAGCGATTGTTTGGATCGCTTCGAGCGCCGCTTGCGTGCCTCAGGCAGAGAAGTGGGAAGCTTAGATCTTTCATGTGCTCTTCATCTGCTACATTCATATCCTTTCAGCACAGCTTCCATTATCTTCCTGGCAACTTGACCTCCGGCCGGTTGACCAGATTGCGGCCGATAGTACAGAGAACCACTGTTAGCCAAGTCATAAAGGGTCTCCGCTGGGACCCTGCCAAGACATAGTCTAGTGGTTACCTGAGGTCTCGTCCGAGGGGGTGCGGCCTGCGCCCCGAGTGGGGAGAGACGACAGCTAGCGCGATCTAGAGCAGGAGCATGATGCATACGATCGTCTGCTGCTTGCAGTACTGGCGCAGCGCGGGAAGCACGCCTTGTAGTTCTGAGGCCTTTGAGACGTTTTCTGTCCCAGTGCGATAGCAAGCTCATTGCTGCAAGGCATGGACTTGCTGCGATTGCCCATCAAAGTGCCGCTAAAAGCGATGTGATTTGTAAGAAAGTATTTTACGTCTTGCCATGTCTTGCAATCTTGCCGGCATCCTGTAGCCGGAGTAGTCCACGGCAGGGTTCAATGTTCACCTCAGCGCTCATTCCCGCGTTTCCCACAGATCTGGTTGCCACAGCTTGGCCAGAAAGCTTATGGAAAGAATTCGAGTGGTGCACGTCAGACTGACTGCCTTGCCATGGTTTAGGGCTTAGGGTTCAAAGCAGCAGCAGCGGTAGTTTCTCTGCTGCAAGGCATGACGATGAGCTTGATCAGGCGCGGCAGGGAGCGGGCATGCCGTAAGTCAGGCTGTGCTCAGGCGGATGCAGCGATGTCATACATGCCCAGTGCCAATTTGGTCAACGGATGACGTTGGATAATGCGCAGATGCTGCGATCACCGCCGTGGAGACGGGAATCGCAGAGGGCTTAGTCTCTTTTGGTCATCTTCACGTTGCTCTGATGGGATCTGTTTGCTACAAAGCTGATATTGAGCAGCATTACCTTGACTCTTGCTTGACTCTGTTAGAAGGAAGGAGGTTGCGCTGCGCACATTGTGCAAGGCGGCTCCTCGCCGGCGTCACCAAAGAAGCCTGGCAGAAGCTCCAGGTCCCCACATGTCTGCACATGATGTGCCGAGAAAGCATCGGGAACACAGCCAGGATGTGGCCGACCAGGCGACGGACGATGCGAGATCGAGGCGATCAGTGCAAGGTTCAGAACAGGTTTTGCTTAAACTTCCTGAACCCTTTGATGATTTGGTGTCTGAACCCGGCCCTGGCCTCCGAGCAAGACACTGGGGTCTAATGTCAAGCTGACTTCGGCAGAAGCGCAGGCTACACGAGCAGCTGCAAGAGGCATCCTCTGTGGTGCAGCTGGCTGATCAACTGCGCAAGGCCACACAAGGCCGGGCTAACTTCCCTGAAGAGCAATGAAACCTGAAGATCCCAAATCTCGGCATGGAAAGGTCAGACTCCAACCGGGTGTTCTGGGAGGGCATTCCTGTGGAGTGCAGAGTGTAGAAAGCCTCTGAGGTGATGACGAGGATGCTCTCCAAAAACTGCTGCGACAGGCTGCTGAGCTGAGCCTCTAGCTCAGTTGGCCGCAGACACCATGACACACACACACACACACACACACTGTGCATCACCTTGTGTCTGAAGCGTTGAAGTCTCTCAATGGTTCTCAATGCTTGTGATTCCACCTCGCAACACCTCGACACTTGCAGCTTGCAGATATCAGCGGCTTGGGCAATGCGCAGAGGCGCTGTGAGCAGCTGAGAAGCATGAGGCCGATTTGTGGAGGAAATATCCTGCAAGCTCCTGTTCTACCATGTTCCACTACATTCTTAGAAAGTCTACAGAGCAGCTAGGCCTGGTGTGTAGCCACCATGTCAAAAGCCAGCCTTGGGGGATGCAGGTCTGATCTTCGGAAAGGCTTGGCAGATGCAGACCACCCCTCAGAACTGACAAATAAGCCGTTTTGCTTTGACAAGTTTGAGCAGCTTCTCTCACACCTTACTTGAGGTTGCAGAACTAGACCTTGCCAGATTCGAAGCGCTGCAAGCTCGTTCTGCGCAACTGCTGCGGCCTTGGCACAGAGTCGTCTGCTCGAAGCCGTGAGAAAGAGACCTTTGTGGGAACAAGATCTGATTTCGAAGGCCTGCTGAAGAGCTTGAGAAACTCCGACAGGGTCTGCACTCGTCGATTGCAGAGGCCCCGAGAATGAAAGGCACCCTTCCAAGACAGCTCTTGCATGCCGGTTCTGCGAGGAGGAACACGCTCTTCAAGAAGTGCCGGGTGCTCAATCAGGATGCTCTCTTTTTTTGGGGGGGGGGGGGGGGGGGGGGGGGGGGGGGGGGGGGGGAGGAGGGCCAGAGCATCGCTCAGCTCCTTTCAGCTCGGCGAACTCGGCACAGAGCCAGAGCTGAGGATCAACTCGGACTTGTCGGAGGACGGTTTGCGAGGGGCTCTGACAAAGTGCAGGCCATCGGAGACAGCTAGTTGTTATCGACCTGTGGAAGGTTTTTGTCGCGGCTGTAGTTTCCCTGTGACTACACAGAATCTCAGCACCTCACAGGCTATCCTCAAAGAACGCATGGAGAAGACTCGCTGAAACCTCTCTGGTGGCTCTGGAAGCTGCCAACAAGATTCGTGTGCAGCTCAGCGATCTGTTGTTTAAAAATGAGCTCAACAATGCCACCGCACACTGACCGTAAGACGCACTGCCAGCCTCTCAGCATCGTCAGCACGTTGCTTGCACGGGTATGATGAATAGATTGCGTCAGAGTCAAGTGTGCTCCTCACACTTGCTCAGTCCAACGTGATCCGGACGCCGTTCTGATTCTGACGACAATTGCATCCGATTGCAAAGCTGCAGGGCCTACTGGCAGAGAGATAGAGCAAAAGAGATGCCCCTATCGAGCATGCGAGACGTCGCGGCGCAATGCAGCTCCATGGTGCTCACCAAAATCCAAGACACGCTCGCATCGCTCACGATAGAACCTCAAGGTCTCCATACTGAGAATGGCCGTCTTTTGGACTTTCTGGTGCTCACATGGCCGCGTTCCGAGTGATACATTCCTCGGATGCCTCCTGCTCAGTGGAATGCTATCGATCTTGTGTTGGATCGATGATCTACATCTACCCCTCGCCACCTAGCTGCCAACTCCACTCAAGGCGCATGATGGAAAGCAGTTGGCAGGCCATCATCATGTGCAGCAGCAAGATAGCAACGTGCTGCAGGTGGCAAAGCAATCATATGCCACAACACTCTGGGAGTAGCGTTTTGGGGGCCAAGTAGCCATCCCAGTTGCAGCAACATTGGCTGCATCACACATGTTCTCCATATTGGGAGAAGAGAGGAGGAATCGAAACAGCCAACCACTACGTATGAGGGAGGCGCACGACCGAAACCGAGACCTGGTGGACAAGTGTGGACTTCAGAGTGCTCTCAGAGGAACAAAGCGGGCGAGCGCATCGTCTCACTCAAAAGCGACCGTTTCCCGGCCATAAAACCTAACGGGGTCGCGGGCGGAAGATGTGGCGGGCCCGAGCGCAACGCACCGCGGTCGCGGACCGGAGACAGGTAGATGCCTGTCAACGACCAGGGACGAGGTATCCTGGCCCGTAAACCCTTACCCCAAGCGATGCCGAATGCCTGGACGAAACCAACTGAACCAACGTGAACCACCAAGTCAATGCTTGGAAAACTCTGCGAGGCACAGCGTTGGGCTGTGTGCCCGTCGACGAGATGGCTCTCCAGGCGCGGCCCTGCAACACAGCTTCGACCTTCGGCTGAAATTGCAGTCAACTCATGTCAATTCCACATTTTTGTGTAGTGTTGTGGAAAATGCGCATCAATCGTCAAACACCAAATTGCATCAAGACATGAACCGCACTTGCAGGCACGACACCCTCGACTTTTCAAAATGGCTGCTTTTAGCTAGTTGCAAATTTGCAATTATACGATGTGCAACGGTAGCCCTTTTTGTCGTCAAGTGAAAACACATTTCAGAGCCATGTTGTCTATCTAGTCAAACAGCCGCAGTCACGTTGGAAACCGATATTATGTACGCGCGCGCACCTTGCAGAAAACGAAACACCGAAGCTTTTCTCAAGTGCATGCTGTGCCGCCACAGTTCTTTTGCCGAATCTTTAGCAGAAAGCGGCAAACATTGTTGAGCGAATGCGATTTCACCACATGCGTGTTTTTTTAGAACAGCTTAGAGGAACATGTGTATTGAAGTTGGTTCGGTCTCCAGACTGTTTCATGAACAGCGAGCAGCTCCTGAACCTCTAATGAGGTCAGAAGCTGAACAGGGATGCCCGAGTTCCAGATTCCAGATGAGCTTACAACATCTTACAACACATATAATCCCACATTGGTGTTTAGCACAAGACAAGCCAAAAGAGGTCTTCAAGAACACTGCACTGACTGCAAAGTCGTAGTGCTCACACAGTTAAAACGGAGTGCCGCTGGTACAAGGCTTCCTGGTATGCTTACACGAATTGAGTCTTTATTTGTCGATAATCGTATTTTTATATAACCATCGGGTTTTTGAGGTCTCCAAATCCTCATGGGGTCCTAGCAGTTAATCGGCACCAAGCTCTCTCATCAGTTCAACGAAACATGACCCGAGAAATCCAACAAATCACGTTCGTAGTCAATGTTTTTCAGGCTGGATGTGGAACAGCCAAAGCAAGGGGACCTCTCATAGTTTTATGAAGAAGGAGCTACTTGAAAAACCGTCCGGAAGCAGGCAAACCTTTGAACTTTGCGCCAGCGTATTTTAGGGAAGGCCTTCCGGGAGCCGGGAGCAGCCAAAGGTGTGCGGGGGTCGGGGTTTGGAGGGTGTTCCAAGAATGGGCCAAGGAAGTGCGGGCCCCAGCAATTCTCCAGGGCATCCAGAGAGTTTGGGGTTTGGGGTTTGGGGTTTAGGGTTTAGGGTTTAGGGTTTAGGAGTCAGGGTAGAGCAGGGTCCAGGAAGTGCACAGCACGAGGGGAAGGGGGATTGTTCCCTCCCCAGAACCATCCCACACGCCGGCCCCAGGGTAGGCGGACTGCGAGTTTTGTCGTCTTGGACTCGGATGTAAACGTAAAAACCCGAAAGGTTGCTTTATTGCTGGTTGTATTGAGACCTTGCGTTTCGGAGTCCTGCAGCCTCCAAGCATAGGGACCGTTCATGCGCTGCAGCCGCTGACATTGCGAAGACGACATCTTTGACATCCCTGGACCCACCCTCGCAAAGTACGAAGAGAAGAAAGTAGGGGTGCAAGGGTACAGATATTCTGAGCATGTACGCGCGCAAGCACATCGCGCTTTCGATGTGTGTACGGTCTATATGCACAGTCTGCAATCGCAACACGACCTAATAGTTGATGTATCCTAATGTATCGGAATGTAATTTCACTTCTCTACTTTTCAGTCAGAGTTTTGTGAGAGGCCTGTCTCAGCTCGGGCAGCTTTGCGGCCAAAGAGTTGCAAGAGTCATCAACGGAGGCGTGGCTCTGCCTTTCTGCGGACGGCTTGTTAGCGAGTAGAGCAGTCAGCATGGCACAGGTTTGCATTTAGGACGTGCATCTTATTGCTGTGGGCTTTCCGATTATTGCGTGCCTGCAAGCTGGACTCTGCACTGCCACGCGGCAGGTTCAAAATCTCGACGAAGGCCTGATCCAGAGTCAAGTGCACATGGAAAGCTGGGTTGTCACAGAAATTGACCAGGGTAAATGAGAATGCTGTGCGTCAACTGCCACGGCTGGCCCGAACCATGTGGGTGGGGGTAGACCTGCCAGGGTCTGCCCCGAGAAGGTTTCGGAGACCTCGCCTAGTAGTCGTTGAGGAACACAAATCACGTGGGCGCCTGTTGCTTCCCTGCCCCCCCCCTCCCCCCAACCGTTCCCTGCTACGAAAGAACCAGAAAGTTCGCTCACTTTGTCCAGGCACCCAGCTTAGTGGAGCAGCATTCTCCACGCTGCAGACGGCTCTGGATGATGGCTATCTAGGCCAGGACGGCTTCACTCAGATAGGACTGGCTTGCAGCGGTCTTCGCCAGTTGGTACACGCTTGGGAACGCAAGAAGTACCAGCTCACATCCATCCAGAGCAGCAGAAGTTTTCCAGGGAGAGAATGTCGTCAGAACGTTTCAGAAATCTCTCCTGCAGGGCTCGCAGGGGCACAGGCAGACCAAGCTCTGGAAACTCTCCTGAGCTCCAAGAGCTGGGACGATTGGGAGGCACACCCGTTTCGAAGTATCACATCATAGGCATGACGAAGCCAGTCATGTGAAGCATAAAGCATATAAAGCTGATTGTCATCAGGCCATTCAGCCCAGCGACCTGCGCGAGCCAGTAGCCCAGACATGAAAGTTCTGCGAGGGGTCTGACCAACATCCGTTCACGAGGCTGGAGGTTCGAGCGGAGGGGGCAACCAAAGAAGGCGCCTTTGGAGGGATGATCTTCCAGAACGGTCCGACAGCTGTTTACGAGCTGGAACTTCACTTGTTAGGCCGCAACCGCTTGTCTCAGCCACTGCAGACGGCTTTGGAGGCCTTCTTGCGGAGCACGCGGAGTCATTGTTTCAACACTTTGGGCAACCAACTTGGGATAGGTCGGACAGTGCTCCGTGGAGCTGGCAGCTTCCATGAAGAATAATGCAGAGAAGCTGGAAGCCTGCCTGAAGAAGGCGCTCCGCTCCAAAGTGCTCTACCAGTAGCATCATGAGATAAACTCGTTTCTTGATTGCCAGTGGTGGTTCGAGTGACCACATGCGTGAGCAGGGGGGCTGTATCTTCACATTCTCACTGTCAACATGGACGGTCATGAGCTCTCACGTGTCGAGAGTGCGAGGCAGAAGAGTTGGGGTTCAAGGGCCTGGACAGGGTGCGACGGCGCCTTCAGAGCATGAGATTGTCGATGGAAGGCAACGATCTTAGCTGGGGTTTGGAGCGCTGCGTAGAGCATGTTTGTTCAGGTTTTTTGTGCTCTAGACCTGCTGAAACTGGAGGTAGGGGTCCGCGACGTGTTGTGCGGAGTGTGGCCGCGAGCTCGAGGGATCCTAGCACGAGGGCAGTCCACTTGACATGAAGCCTTTTGAAGCCGTCCTACTTTGTCTGCTTTTGAAGGCTTTTCAGAGGCAGCCGCAGGAGCCGCTGCCTCTGCAAAGGGAGCAAAGTTCTCCCCTTGGAGGCAAGGATTCCGAGGATGTTTGGAAGAGAGCAGGGAGCTCATGGTCCAGTGGTGGGCCAAGCTGCTCGTCAGCGCACATCCTCATCTTGACCTTTGACCTGGGTGGTGGATGTGGTGGTGAGCTGCAGGTCAGAAGCCTGTGCAAGCAGGCGATCAAGGGAAGCAGGACGGGGTTTGATGTCGATGAGCAGGATAGATGGTCTCAGCTCCTCCAAAGATCAGGATTGTCGGTCCGCCATGTTCGGCACTTGCCCCGCATGATCAAACGATGTGAGCGATAGAATCATCTTCTTGCCCAGCCGGAAGTAGCCCTATTGCCAGTGTGTTGCATGCAACAGGAAAAAGGAAAGGATAAATGTTTCAGTGAACCAAAAGATACCAAAAGTGCACGGTATCCATCATCCCCCAAACAGCTTCCCACCAGACTGGAAGCTTTTGCTGGAATACACACATGTCGGAGCGTTGATGCAGTTGTTTGGCTGCATCCAGAATTGGTCCGAGCGAGTTGTGATCTCATCGCTTCATTTAAACGGATTTTGTACCCGTATATTTACTAATACACATGTGCACACAGCTTTGAGTGCCAGGCCCATCCTTTGCAATAAGGTCCGATGAGCCGAGCTCAAGACAGGTAAAGTAGAGGTCAATCAATGGACACCTCATGGAAGGCAACTGAAGACGGCTATTGAAGACGGTAATGGTCCGCCAAAGACGGCTATTGAAGACGGTAATGGTCCGCTAAAGTCGCGGGTGACCACAACGAAGCCCGCCGGTCGACGTCTGATCAGTCGATGCACGGCTGTATGATGAGCATGGCCGTCAGGATAAGCGGATGCACTTCGAGGACGTGCAGGATCCACAGGTGCACAAGTTTGCACCTTCTGGTACAGTAGTAGACCGATGTAGACTGTTTCGGCTGGCACGATTTGAGTTGAGAGGTTCGGTGCACGAACTTAATCTTCATCGACCTTGAGACCACCTCGGGATTCTACGACTTCGATCAGAGGCCGAAGATCCTGGAGGCAAGACGACATGCCATTGTGCAGTGAATCACGCACACATCAAGCAGGTCATTATCTCGCTTAGGTGGCGATCATCGTCACTGACAGGGACCTTTGTGAGCTGGACCGCGGACACTGGGCCAGCTGCCGAGACGTCATGCAGGGCAAATCTCGCACTGTCCTGCGGCGATCTCCGGGCATCACTGAAGTTGAATACTATATAACACTAGCAGCAAAAATTGCGTGAGCATGGGCTAGGACTTGCTTAAGGGCCGGACCTCGTATGTGGTTCTCGGCTCATATGTGCACACCTCTTCCTTTCCTGGGGCCATTTGTTTCTTGCGCTTGGTCAGACATCCGAGCCTCACAGTGGGGGGGGGGGGGGGGTGTGGCTCATGTGCAAATACAAGGTATTGCTATGTGCACTAAGTGAGCCCCTGCCGTTGCTAAATCATGCAGAGCACCTGGTAGGTCATTGAAAGTTGCCCAGGTGCTGGGAGGATTCAGCCAAGAGGAGTTAGAAGGCCTTGGAGAGTTTCACAAGGCGTGGCAGTGGAAGTCTTCATTATGCTTAGAATTTGATAACATGACTTGGAGACATGCGATACTTTGAATCTTGGGTGTTCTGCACAAGCCCCTCTTTGGGGCCTTGTACTTGTAGTGGGAGCAGTGGGAGCAGTCTTGTTGAGGAGAATTTTCGAGATGCCAAGCCTGGGGGAAGCTTCCCACCTTTGGATGGGTACAGCGGCTGCCATCTCAGAGTCTTTTTTTGTTCTTTTCTGACGCTTTTTGCTTTCTTTGCTGAGGTGGCAACGGCCTTTTCTCGGACATCTTGTCCTCCAGGCCCGCCTCGCTGAAGTGCATGCACGATGCCCTTCCCTGATGGTTTACGTGACGATTCCAGAGCATACAGTCGTGGCATTCAGCAGCTCAGGCTATCTACAGAGGTGCCGTCCTCAGTGACTGAGAGCTGGTGCACGAACTTGGTGCTGCCACCGTGCTCTTCTCTCTCCAGGAGGTGGAGGAGCAGGTCATGCAGATTGTGACGCTGCCAGGAGCTCAGATGTGCCCTCAGCAAGAATCGAGGACAGTGTTTGGCGTGCGTAAAAGTGTCCTCTGAAGCGCACGAGGCACTGTCCTCCTGGTGAGTGCCCGTTGGCTGGAGCCCCGCTGTTCGGCATTCGGCACTCCTCGGCTCTAAGTCTCCAAAAATTCCCCAAAAACTCCATTAAACTGCCTTGAAAATCCCTTAAACACAGGTTGGATATTCGGTTCAATGTGACCGAGAAGTGCTCAAGGACCGAATGCCCAGGCACCGTTCATGCTTTTCTCGTCCTTCGTTTCTTTGGCAGGCATTATGCCGGGTGAAATTCTGTGTGAGTTGCTTTAATTACCTAGTGGAGCTCTTCAGTCTTCACTCGGAGTCAGCATTTTGCACTAGAGGCACGCAATTGAACAGTACTGCAGTGTCAAGTTGCGACGTAATAAAGGCCCAAGAACGGCGTCCCTTTGCCAACGGTGGGCGGCATGGCCAAAGCGAGACCGAAACTGCACAAATCACGATGAATACATCCCGGGCACGCGCATGGCAAGCGTGCAAGCGCACTCCCCCGCCTACAAGAAACTTAGCATCCGTACTGATCGCAAACGTCACTCTGAATATCTGTGGGATTTTGTTCATGCTTCTGCTCCGTTGTTTGATGAGTTTGCTCGGCCAACCTCCGCTAGGCTGTACCGCCATCTCAGCCACCAGATTGTTGATGCCTGCCTGGCATGTTCGGGGTGCTTTCAGAAAAATTGCGGCTCAATGAAGGTGAATATACGCTGTGTGCACTCTTTAGCAGCTCCCCGGCCTGATGCCTGATGCAGGTCTCTGGTTTTTTCATCGTTGCTCGTCTATGGCTTCCTGAGCAATGGCAATACTGGGCACGAATCTCGGCACACTCGGGGTCACTGGGGGTCAGAGACTCTGCATAGAGTCGCCAGGATCGAAAGTCCAGCAACTACAACCACAGAGCGGTGAACGATGTGGAGGATGCAATCCAGGCTCTACGTGCCTGCCTTATACTGTATTCCTACTGCTGTTCAAAAGTGACTCATGTGAAGTGCGATGAAGCAGGGCTTGAAGTGTTCCCAGAGCATTGGGACTAAGGCTGGGTGAGAGACAAGTTCTTTTCCGAGAGCGTGCTTCCGTTTGGAGCAAGCAAGGCCCTGGCTTGGTCCATTGGTGTTTGAGTAGGAGCCCAAAGCAAGCGGAGCAAAGCGAAGTATGGGGCTCATGTTCTTGTTGGGCTCTTCCGTGGGCTTTCGTTCAGCCAGAATCAGGATTCTTCCAGCAGCTTCTCTGCTCTGAGCTTGCCGGGCATCTCACGAAAATAGGCCGCCAACTATGTAGCTGCAAACCAGTCTCGCAGTGTAACATCGTGTAAGCAAGGTAGCTAGAATCATTTGCCCTCCAGCAACTCTAGCAACTCCAGCGTCCTCTAGCCGGATGCAGCAGAGTGCCAGTTTGAACGCCCTGGGCATTCACAAGTAGTGAACAGCTGTGCGCAAGCTTCGTGAGCGCTGTGGCTGACAAAAGTGAGCGCATTCCGAAGCAGCAGCTTTAAAGCATCCTGCATGCGCCATGCCGCTATGCAATTTGCAACTCGGACCCGGCACGGATTTAATGATCAGAAACGGTTGAATGTCATACTCGACGATGGACTCAATTCGCGATGTAGAGTCTTTGCAGCGTGCTGCCGGCAATTCGGTTTGCGTGCAAACCATGCAACCTCTGTAGCCTGCCCGGTCCTTTGCTTTCTTCTACTCGAGGCCTCGTCGAGCCCACGGCAACCACAAGAGGCTGGCTCATCTTGCTGTAAAAGGGTTCCACTTCGACGTCAAGACACTGGTCTCCCGCCTTGACGTCCAGCGCAAGGCGCATGGCTGGTGGGCGCCGAGTAAGCGCTGTACCCAGAACCACGGGGACTACAGCCCATTTCAAGAATTATAACTATAACTCTGTACCAGGAACGGAGGCGTGTACAGTTTCTGTTTCATGCCCCCTCGTTTTTTTGTTACATCTTCGTCGGTTCCGGTTCCTGTTACACCCGTCACCCGCCGCCGCCCGCGAGAGGGCCGCCCTTTGCTTTTCCGGCAGTCCTGTAGCTGCCTGTGTTCGCTCAAACTTTGTCGGACGATCGCAGAACGTCGTGGCTGCCGCAGTGTGTCAGCTGCTCACGCACAGGGCTGTGATGATCAGGTGCGTAACTGTTGACATCTTCAATGATATGCGGATCGCGAACATTGATCCAATACTCAAGAGAGCATGCTGCCACACGCCATCGGGGAGCCCATCCCAGGGCGTCGCCGCCTTGCTGACGAGCTCGGCAACGACGCCCGCGCTGCATCCGTCCAGAGAGACGACCGCCGCATCACTATGTGTCGCGAGGGCTGCGCGCACATGTGCAGCGACGGTGTCCGTGCCAGGCGTGTGGCAGGTTTGACTCCATGGCCTCCTCGTCTTGCCGCAGGAGTTTCACGTGTTCCGCTCGCCCCCGCGAGCTTCACGTATACAGTGCCGAGGCGACTGCCAGAAGGGTGGGTGGACCGGTTGATCGGGCTGATCCTGCAGGATCTCATAGCGCCTCAGGGCGACGGGTGGGGCACGCCTGGTGACGTTTGCAGTGCACGTGCTCTGAGGGCATGACCCGATCTTGACACCATTCTTGGCAACCTACGCCGTGTCCGTGTGTGCAGAAGGCCACTGGTCGTCAGCGCAAGCTGCATGCTCTCAAAATCCCTGGCATGAACACCCGGCTACGCCTGTTGCGGACCGCAGCTACTGCCCGTTAAAAGACGCGAGAAAAAGCAACACTGTATTATCCAGATCATGTGTTTGGAGATGCCATGGTCGCGGAGAGCTTGCCACAAAGCTTGCCAATCCACTCGGTCAAACTCCGTGGAAAGATCACGACTCTCCGCACCCCCTTTGGGCAAACCAAATGCTCTCGATGTATCAACAACGATGTTTGTCGTCAACAAAAGTTCTTCCAGACGTCGACCTTGTCTGAACCCATGCTGTTCTTCAGGTTGGCCGACTTATCCCGACTTCTAACACTCGCCTCCTTGACCAAATAAGGAAACGCTTCATACAACAATCGCAATGAGACGATCGGCTCTTGGTGTGCGCGCTCGTTGACAGGGCGCTTGCCCACCACCCTCCATGAGGACCCCTCGACGCCACTTTGCGCTGCAGCAGGCGCCAGACCCGCTGCCACGCCGCCAGCGAACCGGACCCCGCTGCTGCTGACGCTCCGGCGCTGAGCGCGCGGGGATACACGGGGGCAGGGATGCGCCGTGGAGGCATGGCCAATGCCGCGTGAGCCTGGCGGCACGGCCGTCCCGCCTGAGCCCGTGACCTGTGGCACGCAACGCGAACGCGGCCGGACTTCGCGCAGGTCTCGTCTCGCTTGCGCGCGTTGGCGCTGCAAGCTGCGCCTCAACGCTTGCGCGGCGCACTACGGACTGCATGCAGTGCACTGCGAACTGCGCCTCGCCACGGCCGGGGGATCGCTGCGCGAGCGCGTGCGAGGCTGGAAGCTTTTCTTGCTCGCGCCCCGCATGCTGCACCGGGCGCCTGGAAGCGGCCGTGCGCCGCCTGCTGAGCTTGACCGACGCAGCCAGCTTCTTCCGTATTAAAGGAGCGAAGGAAAAGGAATGCAATGGAAAGAAGTGAACGAAACTAGTGAATTAAATGTACGGGTGAGTGAGTGATTGAAAGATATTGAAAGCATGAACTGTGAGAAAGCGTAAACTCTGGGCCTTTTCATGCGACCTTGTTAACCTAGAGAATGAAGGGGTTAATGTTGGTACTACAGGGATGCGATTCTATGATCAACAGAGTGAGAACGTGAACCCCTTAAAAATAAGAAGTGAGACCGCGTTCATAATGTTGCCAATGTACGCACGGAGCTGTAATTTAATAATTGATCGTGAACGCGGAGACGAAATAAGCATACTAATGTAACACCGCGTTTCGTCGGGCTCGCGCGTTGCCGCCCGCCGCGCCTTCGCCAGGCGCGCCGCTTGAGCTGCTGCCATCACCGCCCCGGCTGCTCAACCCACACGTGGCCCAAGGGCCGAGCCGGAAGTCCCGACACCGCGTGAGGCCCGACCCACGTCTCCCTGACGAGCGCGCCTGTCGCCACACCGGGCGACCAGCCCCCGGATGACTGTCTCGACGACGTGCATCCCCAACACTGCCGATGGTGCTTCGCAGGGGGGCAGGCGCCGCCGTTGCAGGCATCCCCCCTTCTGCGTGGTCCAGCCTCGATGCAGTCGACCTCGTTGCCATTCGTTGCCGAATTTGGCGCGTGCGCCGGTCTTTTTGCGGTCTGGCGTGCGACAAACGTTCGTCCTCGCACTGCGCGCGCTTTGCGCGAGTCGTACGCGCGTGGCACGGCCCTTCAGCAGACCCGTGCCTGGAAACTGTTCTTGCTCACGCCGCGCTTGCTGCAACGTGCGGCGGGGTGAGGCCTCCCGCGTTCGCAGTGCCCTGACCTGTGCGGCAATTGCTCCGGGCACAGACGCAACTTTCGCTGCTTTGTCCGATCCTGAATGGCGCCCGCCGGCGCCCCTGCACGATGTGCCTGCTGCCCTCCTCAACTTCCAGCCGGACGCGCCGGCAGTGCTCACCAACGCCGCCATCGCTCAAGCTCTGCGGACTGCCAGGCGCGGCACCGCTGCTGGGCTGTCGGGTGCTACGTGCGAGCACTATAAGCTGATACTGACTCGACGACGCGGAGGCACTCGACCTGTTTGCGCACGCCGCCAACCTCCTCGTTGCCTCACCGCGCTCCATATAAGCCTGGCGGGGGCGTTCGCGGCATCGCAAATGGCGATACATTCCGGCGTCTCGTGTCACGCAGCCTTGCCCGGACGTTTGCCGATGCGTTCGACGAAGCGACCCGCCATACCAGTTCGCGCTGCAGACGCGGGCTGGCACGGACGCACTCTCAGGCATGCTCCGCGCCGCTGTCGACCTCGACCCTGCGGAGACCATCGTGTCATTGGATGGCCGCAGCGCCTATACGACACGATCAAGCGCAGTGCGTTTCTGCATGTTCCTGCGCAAGTTGCATGCCGTCTCACCGCCCTTTCTAAGCATGGCGGCGGCGTCCGCGGGATCGCGACCGGCTGCGCCGACTAGTGTTGGCACGACAGTATGCGGACACGTTCGACCGCGCCACGAGGCCCTTCGAGCTCGCGCTTCAGGCCCGTGCGGGGACGGATTGCTTGGCAGCAATGCTGCGCGCGGCAAGCGAGTTGAATGCCGACGCCACTGCGACACGGTCTCCCGGGCCGCCTGCCTGACGAAGCTCTGTGAGGTTGCTCCAGCCCTCGTGCGAGCGTGGCGCGGCAGCGATGTATGTCGCAGACTTTGATTGGCCCATGCGTTGATTGGGGAATCCAACACGCAAACTGGATTTCAGTTGGTTTGCCAGGGCCTGGTTGACCCCCCATGCTTTGGTGCTGTCCAACAAAGCATTCCGTCCACGGCGTTCATTGGGGAATTCTGATTTGGTAGTACTTTATTCGCCTTCGCTTGAACCGGTGCAAGCATTGGCGGTTCAGATGTATTTGGAAAGGTGGTTTCGACGTCCGTTGCCGTCAGTAGCGGAGCAGGATGCGCGAGGACGGGAGTGGGATGCGGCGCGCCAAATCGCCTTCCTCCCCGCGGCAACTGGCACCCTCGGTCTAGCCAGCGCGCCTTGCCTGCGGGCAGCTGCGGCAGCGGGTGACAGGTTGCTCACCGAAGGGTGGGGTGCGCGCCCGGAGTGGGATGACTTGCTCCGCGGGGCGCACACACTGAGCCTTCAGAGCCTGGAAATTGGCTTCATGGCTGGCAGAAGCCGGGAGCTCGCGTACTCAACAAGTCCTATTGCGAGCGCCTCCTCTACAGCTTGTCGCCGAGTTCCCGAGCTCTGCTGCGCTCCCAGGCGGGCGCGCATGCCGGCGAGTGGTTGCGAGCCATCCCCACGGACGAGGGCACACAGCCACACAGCTCCTGCCCTGCTCCTGCCGATGGATATGCAAGTCGCTCTCCGGCGACGCTTTCGCTTGCCGCTACCCTTCGCATCGGCCCGTTGCGGTGGACATGGCGAGCCAGGCTGCCGAGGTGTGGTGGACCAGCTGGTCGACCATCGCGCGGGAAGCCGTCGCCGCCGAAGGGGTGGTGGTCCCGGCGCCGACTCGGCCTCGTCATACTGTGAACCGTGGAAGTCTAAACCGGTCATTGTTTTTGATGCAAAGCATTGGGGAGACAAAAACATGGAAGGCGTTACCGTCCAGCGTTCATTGGGGGTAAGCCGGTTTGTGACGTACCACGCTGCGCAAATATGGCACACGTGACGCAGTTATCATGAGAAACTCGAGAGAACGCACTGGATCGAGCAGGGCCCTAACACGTAGGACAGGTGACTCAGCTATAATGACAGACGCGGGTGAATGCGCTGGGTCAAGCCGAATTTTCAATCATAGCACAAAGGACTCAGCTATCTGACAAACGCGAGAGAATGCATCGGATCGAGCACAAGCGACTCAGATATCATCACAAACGCAGGAGAACTCTTTGGATCGAGTAAAGTCCCAATGTATAGACGGGCGACTCTGCTTTCATGACGATCACGGGAGAACACTCTGGGCCAAACAGAATCTTCAGTCATAGTACAAAGGAAACAGCTATCCTGACAAGCATAGGAGAACACGATGTGTCGAGCAGAACCTTGAATCATAGCACGAACGACTCATCAGTTAGCTTGACAAGCGCGGGAGAACACACTGGGTCGAGCGAAATCCTTTAATATGGCTCAATCGACTCAGCTATCATAACAAGCGGGAGAACTCGCTCGGTCGAGCAACGTCCTAATGCATAGCACGGGCGACTCGGCTATCAGGACGTACGTGGGAGAACGTGCTGGATCAAGGAGTTCAAGACACAATGGATTCAACTGTCCTGAAAAATGGGCCAGCGCACTGCGTAAGTTTGGCACAACTGACGCAGTTATCATGAGAAACGCGAGAGAACGATACTTCCATCATAGCACAAGGGACTCAGCTATCTTGACAAACGCGGGAGAATTCGTCGGCTGGCGCACCGGAACAGAACCCAACGATTCTAGTTTTCCTCTAAGCTCTAAATACCAATGCGGCTGTGCTTGCCTTGGTTTACGGAGACCGCTGCAGCTTACGCGCGCCTTACGCACTCCTTACTCTAAAAGAGCTTTGCCAGACAGGTCTGTTTGTTCAGGCATCGTGGATATGTATCGTGGAAGGGCCAGGCGGACCCCAAAATGGGTGTATGCCTTCAAAACGCATCTCCAGTAAGCGGGGCATCGGTCACACGGAGCAACAAGTATATCGATCTACTTGCGGCAGAAAACCTCAGTACGTGCAGTTCGGTCTACTCACAACCACCCGGGGCTTCGAAGATAGAACGCTCGGTACGTGCGCCTCGGTGCGCTCAATGTGCGCTCGGTTAGCCAGGGGCTTGGAAGATGAATACCCTGTGCCTGCATCTAGGTGTGTTCGGTCATTGCCGCAACGGTGCCGTCGTTCGTCTGGGGTTGTCCAAACTTCCCAAGCTCCCCGCGGGCGCTGCGTGCGGCTGCCCGCGCGGGCGCCGATGGTGGGGGCAGCTCCGATGCGCGTTGCAGCGCGCTGGCGAGCGCTGGCGCGGCCCACCGGCGACGAGCACACAACGCTCGGGTGGGTCCTGGAGTTCGCCGAGGCTGAGCAACCCTCCAGGTTGCCCTTGCGTGCGTGATGCGCATGAGCTTGCTGCGATCGGACATGCAGTGGAGAAAGACCTGCGAAAAAAATGAGAGGCTCGGAACTAAACCCTTCCTGGCGGCGGAAAAAGGCATGGGTAAAAAAAACAAAAACTCGCCTCCAGACACCTGCCGTGACCTTCGGCGTTTGCGGAGTACGCCTGTGGACATGCGATGCTTGCAACGCTTGGCAACGCTGCAAACAATGCTTGGGGGAACCGGCAACGCGGACGCGTGGCAACTGGCCGCCCTCCCGGGCGCGCTAGGCGGCCTCGATTAATGTTGGACTCGCTTTAGTACGTAGGGGTCCCCCCCCCCCCCCCCCCCCCCCAAACAATTTTGGGGTTTTCGGGGATCCTGAATAATGTGGGCTGGGGCTGGGACGGGGCTGGGGGTAGGGCGGCTAGGGGTCGAGGGTTGAGGGGAAGCCTTGAAGCTTGAGGGTCTAAGCTTTCCAGGCTTTGTAGCTCCACGGTCGCCGGGGCTCCGCATAAATGCGGACCACCGAAACAACTTGCTAAAGCGAATCAGGGCAGCTCGTGGGCTACTCCCTTGGAAAATTGTTTGGGGGCCTGTTTCGTAATGAAATTTTAAAAAGAATTTAAATATGGCTGGACACCAACAAAATCCGGAGTTTCTTATTCAAAACTGTTTTTATTTTTTGGTTCCCCGCGGGGAACCCCGGCCGGCAAACATCGCATAATTGAGGACCACCCTAAACAATGGGGGGTCCCCTATAGGATTTCCGGAACATCGCATAATAGTGCCCCTTCTCACTAAAGCCCGTCCAACATTACTTGCCTCCGCAAGGGCATCGCGCGAGCGGCAGCGGTAGCCTCAGCCGGCGAAGCAGTAGGACGCAGTATGACGCAGTACTCGGCATCGGGCACGTCTGTGTCCCAGCTCGTTGGGGAGGCTGTGAAAGCGCAGCTCGCAGCGTCGCCACTCTGCGACAGCAGCGGTCACCATAAACAACGATGTCGCGGTCGCTGCGCTTGCGGAATGGCGAGCAGACCCGCGTGCTGCCAGCTGGTGGGAAGAAGCCCGTCACGTGCTCATGGCGTCCGAGCCCGTCAGCCCGCAAACGCTGCTGGCAGCTGTAGTGCGTGCTGTGGAGGCCGCATCAACACACGAACATCACCCGCCTGACCTCGTCTCACGCATCCAGGATGCGTGGCTGCCCAGCAGTGCGCGTGTCCACGTTGGATGGGCGGTCCGCCAGCTCCGGGAGCCGGATGCGTACTTGCTCGCGCCCGTGCAGGAGGCCTTGCTCGAGTGCTACAGAGGCATGCAGCTGGCGTCGGCGCTTGACCGGCATTCCGATCGCTTCCGCGCCATGCCGGTCCCGGGCGCCGCTTCCCCTCATGGAGAAGCCGCCGAGACATCCGCGCGCAGCGGGCGGGGACGCCGCCGTGGGCGGGGCCGTGGCGTTCCGCCGGCTTCTGGGGCGCGTCAGCGTGACCATGATTCGTCGGGCAGCGATACTGGTGCGGCCCCGGTTCCAGACCACGCCCAGGTGCCGGATCGACAGCCGGTTTCCCTTCCCGACTTCCCTCGCGCTGCTTGGCAGTGGCTTGACGGCCTTGATCTCCTCGCCGAGCTCCGTCGCCAAGTGCCCACCCTGCACACCGTGCCCCGTTTTCTCGCCGCGGGAGTCCGCCATGCGCTTGTTTCCGCGCTTCAGGCAATTCGGGTAGCGCATGAGGGGCGCGACGACGTCGCGCGTGTGCGGGCGTGGAAGCTCTTCTTGCTTTTGCCGCGCTTGCTCCTTGCCCGTTGTTTCGAGACGGGTGGAGAAGGTCGGGCCGTTCTACTCCGCCGGGTGCAACTCTTTCGGGAAGGTCGTTGGGACAGCCTGCATGGCCAGCTCGGCGCAGTGCCCTCCCGCACGAGGCAGCCCACAACCCCGGATGCCTCGGAGGCTCGCGCAGCTGCAGCCTGTGCCCGGGTCCGGCGAGGGGAGATCTCCCGAGCGCGCCAGGTCCTCACTGCGGCCGCGTTGGCTCCCGGGGACGAAGCCACGCTCCGAGCACTCACCGACCCTTCCAGACGGCCGCCGCAGCCGCTGCGACCGGTCCCGCAGCACGTGATGAACCATCACCCTGCAGAGGAGGTCGCGCTCTCCAAGCAACAAGTCGCCGACGCGCTTCGCACCTCCAAGCGCGGGTCAGCTGCTGGCCTGTCGGGCACCACTGTCGAGTTCTACAAGTTGCTCCTCGACGATGAGGGTGCCTTAGAGGCCTTCACATTCGTGGTGAATGTCGCAGTTCGCGCGCAGGCTCCTCCGGTTGCGTTGGACGCCCTGGCCTTGTCGCGCCTCACCGCCCTTCGCAAGCCACAGGGAGGGGTCAGAGGCATTGCCACCGGAGATGTCTTCCGTCGCCTCGTCTCTCGTGCTTTGGCGCGCGCGTATGCCGGGGAGCTCGACGAAGCAACGCGCCCGTTTCAGTTCGCGTTGCGGACCCGTGCAAGCACGGATAGCCTGGCTGCGCTCTGCGGTGGAGTTCGACCCGCGGGCGACCGTCGTCTCCCTCGACGGTCGCAGCGCGTATGATACTCTCAGCCGGGCGGCAATCCTATCCAAGCTCAGCGAGGTGGTGCCGGCACTTTTGCCCTTCGCCCGAGCCATTTATGCCCGCACGTCCACTTTTCTGTGGTGGGACGATGAGGGGACCCTCCACGAAATTTCCCAAGCGGAGGGATTGAGCAAGGAGATCCCCTCGCGCCAGGCCTGTATGCGTTAGGCCAACACGAGTCGCTCGTGGTGGCGGCTGCGAGCGCCTGTTGGCGTTTCTCGACGATCTTTACGTCGTGACTACGCCGGAGCGATCTGGGCACCTGGGAGGTGTCGTTGCAGGTGAGGTTGAGCGCGGCGCGGGCGTCGCTGCCAACCTCGGCAAGACACAAATATACAACGCTCAGGGAGGCGCAGCGCCGCCGGACATTGCCGCCTTAGGCCCGGACGTCTGGCGGGGGGATTTGCCGCCCGAACGGCGTGGGTTCGTCGCACTCGGCGTCCCGATCGGCCACCCGGACTTCGTTGCGTCCCAGGCCGAAGAGCGCCTGCGCGCCGAGGCCGAGTTGCTGCGGCGATTGCCGCTCCTGCCGGACCTCCAGTGCGCGTGGCTGCTCCTTGTCTACTGCGCGTCGCCCCGGGCGCAGCATTTGCTCCGCAACGTCCCGCCCGACCACATCCTCCCTTATGCCCGGGCCCACGATGACGCGATATGGGACGTCGTCACGCGCCTTCTTGGTGGGGAAGGCCCGGGTGAGGAGGCTGCGTGGACTGCAGCGCGCCTCGGCGCCTTCCTGCCGCCCAGCTTGGGGGGCCTGGGTGTGTTGGCTGCAGAGCGGGTTGCGCCGGCTGCATACTGGGCGGCTTGGGCAGATGCCCTCCCAGTTTTGCGCCAACGCTTCCCCGACGTCGCCCAGCAACTCGTGCGCGCGCTCGAAAGCGATGCAGTCGCCGCACCGCCCTGCGTGCGGGCAGCGGCGGCGGCTACGGAGCGCTGAGACGCGGCTGGTTGGGATGAGCGGCCTCACTGGGCGGCATGTGCCGACGGGGCCCAGGTCCCGGCTACAGACGGTGAGCTCGGGCTCGGTGGCCCTGGCTGGCAGCGACGCGCTGTTCTCGCACTCCACACGTCCTTCCGAGAACGCGAGCTGCTCCCGGCCATGGCGCCCGATGCGCGAGCCCTCTTTCGCTCTCAATCTGGGCAACATGCGGGCATGTGGCTCGCCGCTATACCGGCTGACGCAGCTGCGACCCTGGCCCCAGACTTGATGCACATTGCCCTCAGGCGACGCCTCCGCCTGCCGCTACCATTGACCGCCCTGCATTGTGGAGGCGACGGAGCTCCCGGCTGCCATGGAATGCTATGGACAGGCCGATGCGTTAGGTGACCACTTCGTCGCCTGCCCGCGTACTGGCTTGCTGCCGCGCCGAGGCTTTGTCCTTGAGCGCGCGTGGGTGCAGGTCGCGCGCGAGGCGGTCGGGGCGGAGGGCCGAGTAGTGCCACAGCAGTGGCTGGCCCGGACCACGGCACCTTTGGTGGTGTACGGGGCCACGCAGGGCGGTGAGGCACTCTGTTGCGACGCGACGCTTGTCTCGCCCCTGACGCGAGCGGGTCGCCCAGTCCCAGGTGCCGACGTGCGAGACGGGGCCGCGTTGGCGGCCGCGCGCCGCCGCAAGCACGCGCGATATCCCGAGCTCCTGCGGGGAGGTCCGCAACGGCTCGTCGTGCTCGCGGCGGAGGTGGGCGGCAGGTGGGGCGAGGAGTGCCAGCGCTTCGTTCGCCAGCTCCTGCGTCTCCGCGTTCAGAGGGCCCCTGCAACCCTGCGTGCCACGGCGGCCCAGGGGTGGGCAAGGCGATGGTGGGGCCTGCTCTCGGTCGCCGTGCAGAGGGCAGTTGCCAGCACGGCCCTGGGTGTCTGGACGATGCGGAAAGGGAAGGGGAAGGAAGGGAAGGAAGGGGAAAGAAGGGGAAGGAACGGGAAGCAAAGGGAAGGAAAGGGAAGAAAAGGAAAGGGAAGGGAAGAAAAGGGAAGGGAAGGGAAGGGAAGGCAAAGCAAATGGAAAAGGAGGAAAAAATTAAAGGAAAGGATAAAGGGGAGAAAGTCAAAGGAAAAAAGAAAGATAAAGAAACATAGCAGGAAGAGAGAAAGAAAAGATAAAGAGCAACCGCAAGTGCAAGGGAAGGAGAAAAAAACAAAAAACGATCAAAACAACGAGCAAAACAAACAGATAGATAACAGGGAAACAGAGAAACAAAGAGAAAGAGAGGCATGTCAGGGCTACGTTGGTCAGCGTTCCGACGCGGCCCTGCTAAGGCGACAGCAAAAGCGGTCGACCACTTGCTGTCAAGCGCGTAGAGGTTATCGCAGTTTGAAGTCCCAATGCAAGGATTCCACCCTGCGGGTTCACGGTGGGCGAAATCCTTTACCCCCGATCTACCCAAAGCCAACTAGCTTGAGAAGACTCCAATGCCGTATAACTTTATCATATAACACAATCACAATCGCAGTCACAATCCACTAGACACCTTATTCATCAATCTAGAGATGCCTCCTCTCCCCTCCCTCCCCTTACCTCTTTCTTTCCTTCCTTCCCCTTTTCCTTCCTTTCCCTTTCCATTTCCTTTCCCTTTCTTTTTCCTTTCTTTTCCTTTCAACTGCCTTTCCTTCTCCTTTCCCTTTCCATGTACAGCAGCCCAAGCCTTCAAAAGCAGAACCCAAAACTTGAACAGTACCATACCCTGCCAATCCCCGCCAAACCCTCGAGAGCTTGCTTGGTTTGGCTACGGACAAGGCCATGGAAATGTCCGCTTGGGGGGGGGTCCATGCAACTCCTCGGTTCAGAAATGTGCTGCCCCAGGTCCCCAGCGTCCCCCCCATTCCTTTTCCCCATTGGTTCGTGAGTAGAAGCCCTCTCACCTCGCCAGCCTGTGGCTGGCACCGCAAACTTCGTTGGCGAACTGCCCGGTCGTCCGACCCCCTCCCCCCTCGTGAGCTGCACATGCCCGGTTCCGCCTGCCATGACAATGCATTGGGACCTACTGCGAGGATTTGCGGAAAATGGCGTGCGGCAGCTTCCCCACAACTCCTAGGCCCTTGCCATTGGTATCCCCCAAAACCATCCAAAACGGCACCAAAGAAACACGGCCCAACTTTAGGCCAGCAAAGAGTGGCCAGCGCCTGAGCGCTATCGCTTTGTCGCTTTGGAGGACGATACAGCCTTGAGATTCCCGAGCTGCCGAGTTCATCAATCCGCTTGCCCGTGCACATGCTCCAGTGCCCCCACCCCCCCCCGTCCCAGCCCTGCCGTTACACGTGTGCCGATTGCAGCGACACGCTTACCGGCGACCTCAGCGCACAGGTCACCGCCTCCCCTCCCCGAACCTACGTACTCGTAGTTGCCCGAGGACTTCGTTGGCCAGTTGCAAAAAAACTTGCAATTTTGCACGTATTTCGCTGGGGCATCTGGGTGATCAAATCAAGCACGGCACTATCCTTGGACATGAACCCGAATACAACCCGAATACATCCGATCACCACAGGATACGCAACGTCAATTCGTTACCCATCAAAGGCTTGCTGAGACATACCACTGAACTAGCAACGTAATCTGGCACACTTTGGCGAGCGTTAACGGCTAACGTTGCCATACCAACCAAGCTCATCGTTAGCAGGGTCAAGTTGAGCTGCCCATCGAAAATGTAGGTTTGGCGGAGATGGTTGCCAGCCATGATCACCTGGCAAACCAGGTCGGCTCCGTGCGACATGCCATGTTATTGTTGCAATGGTTGCGCAGCTTTTGCTTCTGAGAGTGCCGAGTCCAAGGCCACAGCGATCCAACGACGAGTCCAACAATCCAGGCGCGGGATTCGGATGATGATTGGCTACTAGTAGTTGGACTAGTTTTTGTCCGGGTAGGTAAGGTTGCCGCACGTGGAACTCGTCGTGTTTTGCTGCATTTCCAAGGGTGGGCGCTGCGTCAGTGACCGAGGGTTTGGTGGTGTTACCACGAGAACCCCCCACAAGGCTTTGTAACATTTTAGCTTGTGCGTCTTGCCTACACAAAGACCTAAACATACATCCTTTAGTTTTTTGTCTCTTTCATGTCTTTTATATGTTACACGGATTGTGGGGTGAGCTTGCACGTTTTTCCAAATGCTCGACGAGAGGCCCGGAAATGTTACCGGTAACATTTCGGCCCCCCCTTAAAACAAGGGCCAATGTTTGTTGTGCCGTCCATCGGTTCTGTGCTTGGTGGCCTGTTGGACCTGAACGCGGGCCAAACTCGGTTCGACACAAAATCGGTTTACTGGAAGAAATTGTTGCGCTTTTGGTCAGGCAAGATGCCACACGCGCGGAAGCCAGACGAGCTGGGCAGCTCAATCCGTGTTTGTGGCAACTGGTTGTTCATGCCATAACTTCCATGACCCATCATATGGTTCGGTTGTGTTGAGGCCATTGCCTGAGTATCACAACCAAACATCAAGCCCATCGAGTATTACACGTTCACTGTGCCCATATGTTTCCGCACATGGTCCCGCGAAAGAACCATAAGCAAGCACACCATGAGCCCGGCCAAGAGTTGAGGTAACTTATAACTGTCGCCATGGCCCCTTGCCAACGTCAGACGAAGCAGCTGCAACTACATGAACCTGTCCCGGCATGCAGCACGCCAAGGCACTTGCAATTCTGGAAGTAAAAGATGGCGTAATTCAGCGGTTGGAACAAGAGGTAAATGCCGCTGAAGTGGAAATCAGCCATTACGAAGAAGGTGCAGAGCTGGCGGAAGCACGAGCTGCCGCGGCATTGGCAACTGAGGCGACCGTGGCTGCGATCGAACATGAAACACGATGCGTCGCTGATGTGTATGCGCTCAGCGACTGCCAAATGCTGGCAGATATGGCTGCGCAAGCAGAGCGTCGGGCCCAATATGCAGCCAGCGAAATCCGTGACCTTGAAGAAGAGAGCAGGGAAGCCGAACATACTGTTGAGAAGCTATCCATAGAGATGTTGCACATGCAGTCGGCACAGCCAACTTCACGGCCTTCTGCCGCCGAAGTTGCTTGGCCATTCTGTTGTGAAGCGGCCGTTATTACCATCGCCGGCAGATGGAGCATCATTGCAAGGGGTTTTGTGGTTATGGCTTGCGTTGTTGTTCCTTTACACTTGTCCTTCAACAGCCACACCCCATCCACCTTTCACCCCCTCCCTTGCCCTGCACATCATTGCCTTGCCCACCAGCTTTTGTTTTCAGCTGGAAGGCACTGTTTGCGGGGTCAAAAAAAGGCTTCCAGCTGAGGTGGCGCGGTTGGAGGAGGCACTGGCTCAGTCCGAGGTCGCTCTTCAAAACGCGGAAGAGCAAGCCCAAGAAGCTCGACGACGTGAACTACAACTCCTTCAGCACGCGGGCCTTGGAACGGCATAGTATACGTTGTATGTACCTTCTTGGCTTGTGCGTTCACGGATTGCTTGGAGTATTCACTCCAGGCACTGGTTCGGTGACGACAGAGAGTGGTACTGTTCGAGAGAGTCCAGGGCCCGGGCCCCAATTCGACCAGAGTTTGGCGGCCGTGGAAAAGCATCTCAAGGCGCAGCATGCCACTCAACGAGACTGCTACGGTTTAGAACGTCCTAGATTCAGCCGGCAGCTAGATGCAAGAAGGAGGGAAACATACTTGCCAATGGGGGCATTGCGCTGCCCGCAGGAGATACTGGAGCGGCATGAGGAAGAGATGGCTTCTGTGGCCACTCGACACTCGGATGCCAAATGGACCTGAAAGTAGGCACCCCTTGAGGCGCAAGTGGCGACATGAAACATGGAGATGATTTGCGAGGGCCAATGACATGACGGCAGGGTTTGCGTAGTAAGCATCGTTTAAAGCATTCAAGATGGCCGAGCGGCACGTAGTTCGCAAATGGCTGCGCGTGTAGCTGCTACTGCTGTTGCTGCTCACTGACGCAGCAATACCTCAGGTCTTTGCGCTGATTTTAGCACCGCAACAGCCGCCAGCGGCACTGAGCCCCCCCACCTTCGTTCTTCACAAAGCGTGCGCCAGAGACGGGCCAAGCCCAGACCGAGCTCGCGACCAGCACTCGATTCAGCCCAAAAGCTCATTGAGGATCGATTTGAAGAAGTTCAACAGCTTCGCAGTCATTGCCATGTGGTGGAGCAAGATCTGGCACAAGCTACGCTACTCAGTCACCATGCGACTGCATCGCGAGACAAGGCTGAATCAGACAGTCAAAGGGTGTCATCTCAACTCCAGAGAGCGCGCCAAGATTTTGCTGCAACATTGTTGCAGCTGCAGGAGTCGCAGGCATCAGAGGTGCAGATTCTGGAATCTGCAAGCCAAAAGTCCAAGTTGACAGGCGGTCGAGGCCCAGAGGAGGTGGCACGTGAAACATCCGAGCTCAGAAATTCGCTGCACACGTTGTGCCAGAAGTTGCAGCAGCAATCGCAGAAAAGTGACCTCAGCAAGGACACCCACCGACCAGCATGGCTTCAAGGCGTTGTAGACATTGGAGGGCAGGTGCTGCTGGCAATGGCATCTCTTGGCGAGGTCAACCACAAACTGCAACTGGCAGAAATGCAACTAAAGCTCCCAAGGCAAGCTGCGACATCTGAGACCCACAAAACGAACACGTTGGCTGTCTCGGATCTGGACGCGAAGAGACTACAAGATCAGGCCGCCCAGGATGCCGATGTCCTGCGACTTCAAGCAGCTGCATCAGAGCAAGCACTTCTTAGGGACGAAGCGACATCTTTGCGAAACCAGCTTGATTTTGCGGAAGGTTGCAATTCAGTGCATGCAAAGACATGCATGGATTACGCGCGCGGCATTCGGACAGGCACCGGAAACTGTATCGACGAAGCCTATCATGCCGCAGCACCTGTGTTTATTGAGCACGCCGAAGTATCCCAGGAATCTGTTGGACCTCTTTTGGTACGTATTCTGGAAAGCTTAGCCAATGCGCAACGCTGGGCTTTAGCCAGCGAGTTAGAATCTGCCACGTGGAAGGAGTTGATTCAGCAGATTGCCGCTCGAGACAAAGCACTCGGGGAGCTTGCATCTACCACTGCCCAGCCCAGAGCACCCGCAGTGTCTCCAGTGTCTCTAGTTTCTCCTTTCGTTGGGGAGCTCTGCCCAGCAAGTATGGCAGACAGGTGCGTGGGACTCCTGGAAGCACAATGTTCCAACATATCCAACCAGTGGCACCATGCTGTATCTATGTGTTGCAAGTTGGAGATGGATCTGCGATCCTTGGATTCACAAACTCCGGCGAAAACGGAAGCTGCATACAAAGAAGCTGCAGCTGCCATGCTCCGACAGAAGAGTATGTGGAACCAGGAGCTGTTGCAGAGATGCATCGCCTGGCTCTCGCGGTCGAATGATGTGTCCGACTGGCAGGCTATGGCCGCAGTGCGGGAACTTGGACTGGAGCGTTCTTTGCGTGATATGGTGTCCTTGAGCCAGTCACTACGAGAGAAAATTTGGAGTCTAGAAGCTGAGCATGAGAGCCTCAGAGCCGCATCCAGCTTTTGGAGGAATTCATCAGATGGCGCATCTAAGCTCGGGCGGCGAGACGGGCACTGGGGTCTCCAGCAGCACATCGACTCACTGAAGTCCGAGTTGGGATCAGCACGCCGGGAGCTCGGCGCTGTGAAGGAGCAGTTCGACACCATCGTGACCAAGCTACATGGACTGCCAGATTCGAGCAACACCGATGACGAAACTCCACCTCCAGCTGGCTCAGGCGGAAACGAGGATGTGGCTCTCGCGCAAATATACCCTGCATTGACTTCGATTGCGCGGCAATTGCAACAGTTTTGCCGCGAGACCGACACCCAAAGCAGATCAGATTCCTGTCACCTGATCTTGGAAGAGTTGCGGCACACTCGGTCATGGTGCAAGCAGGTGGAGCAAGAATTACAGCAGCAAGCTGCCCTTTCGAAGCAACTGCTCGCCACTTCGGGCGGCGAGATTTCCGCTTCTTATCACAGAGCATCATCCCTGTCGACCGACTTGTCCGTTGCTGACTTGGATCGCTCTCTGACACCCGGCATGAAGGAATGTCAAGCACGTCAGTGCGCAACCATGCACAGCAATTTGCTCAGCATCCGAACGCAGCTGAGGCCTAATGGTGTTCTTAACCGGGTTGAGGCCATCCTCAACATGCAGCAGGACCTCCAAACAGGCTACCGAGCTGTCACGAGAGAACTTCATGAGCTTCAGAACCAGAAGCAGGCGCAGGAGTGCCTGGGTCACCGTCAGAGGGAACAGTCACAACCAGGGTGTGCATGCTGCAGACCGCAAGCAAAAGTGAGCTAAAACATGCTGAAACGTTGACTCAGGAAAGCAATTGGACGGCTGCAAGGCCAAGTGCACCGGCGCAACCAGCGCCTGGAGCAGCTTGCCGGCCAGCTGGAAGCCAAAAGAGAGGCAGCGCAAACAGCGCAGGAGCCGAAGGTAGTTCCGAGCATCTGTCCAGCATGCTAAGGGACTTCGAGCCAGTTTCTGCTGTCGATTCTTTTTGCCCTGCGAGGAGGAAGAGGTCCAGTATGCTCAGCTGGAGATGCAAGAAAGCTGCCAGTCAGAGCTGACTGAGCTCCAGCAGATGCATCGCAAGGAGGCCACTGCCGCAGCATCCTTGCAAGGCAGCTGAGGGCATTTTGGGTTTGGGGTTGGAGAAGGTGTCGTGAACATTCGTGAACCAAAATATTGGTAGGTAAAGGGCTCGACCATTGCTCCGCAGGTAGTGCTCAGGAGGAGGAGGCTATTGCTACCCGGATGTCAGCCGAAGCAGCATCAGCCAGAAAAGCCGAAGCGGTTGCCAGCAATGAGGCCCAAGCGGCTTGGGCAGCTGTAGAAGCTACCCGCACTGAAAGTGAGGCGGTCAATGGCATGAGCCTCACTGCACGACGATTGCAGTCCCTATCTCAGGCACTGCAAAGGCAAGACGTCGGATCTGGGCTGAGCGACCTGTCCCGCGATCTGTCCATGGTGTCAGCAGAGCTCCATCATCAAGTCGAGGCATGCGCTGAAGCCCGGCAAGAGCTCAGAAGCATTGAAGGGGAGCAGCTCGAGGCTGCAGAATCTGAACAGAAATCGGAGGTGAGAAGTCAGGAACTTCAGGAGCAAGTACGGTTGCTGATGCTGGCCTCAAGTGCTGCCTGCGAGCTGAGAAATGCACAAGCAAGCTTAGAGCACGGAGAGGAAGAGCTAGAAAGGATCGGCGAACAGCTAGAGATGAAGGCGTCAAGTTGCAAAGAATTCCTTGAAGAGAGGAGTGCTGCGCAAAACCAAGCAGACAGCGAGGAACAGGCGTTGAGTCAGCTGCAGTCAGCAAGTCGTCGTTTGGAGTCACGGCTGCAGAGAGCAGAAGCCAGGCAACATACGCAAGACCGACGATACAAGCAGGAAAGAAGTGAGTGGAAGCAACAGCTCCGACAACTTCAGTCACATGACTTAAAGCCCCGGAAAAGCATTGGCAACTTTGCAGAGCCTGTCGCGGTGGCCTTCGAGCCGATCACTGAAGTTAATCGTGAGCAGCTGGAGTGCCAGCGCTTAATGCAGCAGGAGCATGGCCTGGAAGAGCAGGCGAGAGATTTGCAGTCTCAGTTGGAAGCGACGAGGCGTCGCAGCCAAATGCTTCTCAAGGAATATGATACCGAAAGATACCTGGCGAAGCGTGGCGAGGAAGTGCTCGCCACCGAGATCGCATCTGCAAGAGGTCGAGTCACTGCGATGTCCTATGAATTAAGCCGCCTTCGTCAAGCCACGAGCGCTCCGCAAGGCAACCTGGACATATCCGCGTCAGCCGTGTCAGTCCCGTCAGGTCAGGCTAGTCGCGAGAGAGAGACTGCCGAGGCCTTCCGGGACGTGAGAAGTCGCTTGAAGAAGCTTCAGGGGTCTCTTTCGCAAGAACAGGAGCAAAGCCGGCAACTACGAGATCGAGTCTCCCAGCTCAAGCAGCTGCATGCTCAGCTTCGTGAACGCATACGAGACGCAGAGCAGAGACTCCAAGTAAGCCGTGACGATGTCGAGAGGAAGCGGGTGCTTGCCACCACTTTGCAAAAGCGTCGTCAGGAATTTGCCGAGCAGTCGGCCCTGACAGAACAGCAAGAAGAGGAAAGCAGTAGATCCCTCCAACAACTTCGGAGTGACGCTGTCAGAAAAGATGCTGCCATTAAGAACTTGCAGAATGAGGTTGCAGCGGCACAGCAGGAGGAAGCAAAGGAAATCAGTGGCAAAGACAAAGCCCTTCAAGAGAATGTCAGATCCAAAATACAGGTCGAGCTGCATCTCAAAGAACAGCAGCTGCACCATGCGCGTACCAAAGCGCAGCTACTCAAGACACGCTTGGATGCTGAGGTCCGGCGACATGGTCGCATCCGACGGGTCGGCAGGAGTGTGTCCAGCCAGCTTGAAGGACAACCGAGTCAGGATGTAGGAAGCAACAGCTTCGGAGATGAATCTCCTTTGCCAGCTGGACATGCGAGTGAGCCGGTGGTCGCTTTGCCCACTGGCATGGACAGCATGGAGTCTTTGAGAAGCTTTGGTCTCTCAGCTGACGACCTGTCCGGCATCATGCCTCAAGCAACACATTCGTTAGACTCGTCAACGGCTGTTCGGGAGTCTTTGCAAATATTGAATCTCGAGCCAGAGGATCTAGCAGAGTTCCTGCAAGCAACAGAGCTTGCGCAAGCAGTTGAAGAAAGCATCGCTGGGCACTGCGTAGGTAAGTTCGTTGCCAGCCGGCTGTAAGTTCTCCACTGCAATTGCTTCAAATATTGCCTGAAACCATTTGCGGCATTTCTCGGCTGTCACTGAGCCCTGAAGCTGTTGTATTGAGCTGCATTGCTGAGGTCCGCCTGAGGGCCAAAGAGCAGCGAAAAAGGACCAGGAGAAACCAAAAGCGCAAAGAAGAAAAGCAGGTGCAAAAGCTTCGCAAGCATAGTTTGTTGCTGCCTGGACTCCTATCCGCCGTCAGGCTGCCAAGGCTAAGGACAACGAGCACGACAAAGCGCCTCGCAAGCTGCTCAGCCATCAGCTTCGTGTGACCTCCACGCCTCCACGTGATGCGGTGTTTTAGCAGGTGCCGCTGTCCGAAGTGACGAGGCCGGGCCGTCTTCGGACGCCTGTGCACAAGCTAACACACCGCACTGTCATTCCTTTAGGCCTGGCAAAGCCTGACGTTTTTTCCTGTCTGCGTCATGTCGCGAAACATCTTTGCTTTGGGCAGCAGCAAAGTTGCCTTGGACGAGCATGCAATCTGCAAATAGACGACCTGCTCTCCGATCATCCAGGACCATCTCCCTTCCGGTGACCCAGGCAATGCGCAAACCGCCATGAACACACGCACGTGCGCAACCCGAATGCAAAACGCATGCGCCCAAGAAAGTAAGTAAACAAGGGAACATGCGCCAGCCCTGCGCCGACTCATTGGAACCACGAATGTTTTTCGACCCATCAAGGCAAAAAGTGCTGGCATGGATGTCAAGACTGCCTTGATTTCTTCCCACACCAGACCAAATGATATTGACTGCCGATGACTGCCTTGAAATGCAAAAGCTCAATGTGTGCCAATGTATGCCTGAAGCAATGTACTGTTTGCCGCTAACATCTCGGATGCTGGCCCGGTACTGTATAGAAGAGAGATGAGCCGAAGTGTTCCTTCAGCCTCCCCACATTTACTATTCAACCTTCCCAGTGCAGGGCAAGGCACTGCTGGGCGGCTGACTGTAGCTTCAGTGCAGAAGTCGCGGCGCACTGACTGTGTTTCAGCGTGTGGCGCGTGTACACCTGCAGGCTTCGGCTCCCAGAAGACGTGGGCGACCAAAGAAGTCCCCAGCTCCAGAAGAAGCGGCATCAGGCTGTGGGTCGACAGGGTCGACAGATGCACTGATAGTTAGATCTTGCCGACAGTGATTTCGGAGTAGTGCGGGCTTGGTTGTGCTGCAGGGCAGGTGCCAGTGACACCTGGACGCCTCCTGGTTGCACAAAGCAGTAAACTGCGGAGGATGTTATCTTGTGCCATTTATACAAGCTATCGGGTCCATGTGAAGTGAGATAGCTCATGAATTTCGTGATGACGCGACGCCTTTTGTGAAAGGTGTGGTGGGCAATGTGCTGAACCATGTTATTAGATTTCAGAACTGAAAATTCCAAGTTGAAGCTCCAGCTCTTCCGGATTCCCGCCTTGCGGCATCGTCCCTACCACGGTTTTGAAGCCAGCAAATTCATGTTGCGTGCCACTCGGGAACAGCATCGGGCAAAGGATTCGATAGGGATAGCATTGTGGAAGGCTCGCAAGCGTGGACGTGGGCGAGCAGCCCTACCGGAGCCACCCGAGGCTTCAGGCAAGGGCTGGCGCCCTTTTTAAGTGCATGTAGTCTTAAGTGCCTTTGTGAAGCTCCTGTAGGCTGTGCTGGCCAGTCGTACCTGACAAGGGCTTGAAAGCATGCATGGCGCAAGGTCAGGCAGATGCTGGCGCCGAATTGCTGGCGCAACTCTTACAGACCATAGCTGGTCATGTCTTTATGCAAGTTCACCGACAGGGCGCTGCATCGCAAAAAGCCTTAGGTTCGGCGGGAAGAGTGGCTAGCACAATCTGCAGCCCCGCAACGGCCGCTCCTGCTGGAGAATCTGCCTGGAACACCATTGGAGAATCTGCCCGAGTCAGGGTCCCATGGGCTACCAGCCCTGTCGCTCCGGGCAGATGTAAGCGGCATAAGCAGCCATGGCATCCCAGGTTTGCTGAACTGGGAGAGTCGAGCAGGTCCCGTACTCAGCTCCCCGTCGCACGTGCTCAGCCTTGGCATGCCTTGGCTGTTTGCGCAGGAACTATGGCAGCAATGTCTGTCATCGTCGCAGCTATGAGGTTCAAGCAGATGTGTCCAAGCAGCTGCGCCACAGAGGCACCAGAAGAGAAGGAGATGCTGAAAGCCCTCAGCGTCCAGTTGCCCTGACACTGGAAGCGGCTCACCTGGCAGCCTTCCACAGCAAATCGCTGGACACCCTTCCAGCTTCTGCGCATGCCACAGGAGGGGAGCACAAGGAGCAGGAGGACTTCCACAGTACACCAAGGAGGAAACGAAAGTCAGCCCGGTTCTGGCTTTGGGCTCCTGCTGTGAGTGGATCGGGGTGGCTGCGGTACCGTTCCGCGAGCGTGGCCGAGATGCTGTCTCGCCAGGAAGGCTCATGTCGACTGGCCGACCCGATCTCCTGCCCTTCGTGCAGCCCGTGTCGGAGCGCTTCCACGGCAAGCATGACATACTCTGCCTGGCCCCTGCCTGGCCAGGTTCACCGCCCAGAGCCCCACAGACCAGGGATCGAGAAATTCAAAGATAGAACGCGCCCATGTGGCCCATGTCTTCAAGTCGGGCACAGTAAGACTCAGCGCCAAAGTTGCCTTCGATTCGTTCAAGCGCAGCTCCTTGTGGAACCACTTGTTGCAGCAGGCCGAGCATGCGATGGGATGAAGGCCTAGGCTGCCAAGCTGAGGAGGACATCGTTCACTCGTCAGGTCGGCGCAGTGATGGTCTGTCCGGCTGACACGGCAAGCAAGTTCGTAGCAACTCGATGCGGAGAAACAGCAGGTTCTAGGCCGAGTGCATGTCAGTCTAGTCGAGCCTCATTCAGCACTGGCCCAGTGAAACACAACTTATTCCAGTTTTTCTAGATCGGAACGAGTGCCATGTCCGCCTGCAGCAGGAGCTCCAACAGCGCGGCTGTGCCCGACTTCAGCGCATTCAGCGGCACAGTCCTCACATTGGAGAAATCCGTCCATCGCAATGTGTCCGTCTGGCGTGCGCCAGGCCCACCACCACCGAAATGCGTGACGGCTTTTGCTGCGCTGTTCAGGCATTTTCTGGACGCATGCAATGTTTCGTCAGCACTGCGTATGCACGACATGTCTCAGTGAAAGCCTACTGTGCACGAAACCTTGGCGTGGGGGCATGATTTTGAGTACTGAAAATGCGGGACCTGGGCAAGAGCGCGATCCAAGGGAATTTCATGACTTGCACTGGCGTTCTTGCAAGTTGCAAGTGGCGCTCTCGCCCTGATCCTGCGTGCACGGCTCCTCGTGAAGTTAGAACACTGTTAGAACCATCGCTTTTGAGTGCCTTGCGAGTACTCTTGGAGTGCTCTTGCTTGAAGCAACCAGCTGAAAACGCATGTCTTCCCGCGGCAGAGGCATATCGTTCAAGAACTTCCGGCGCAAAGCTCTGCCCGCCGGGGTGCGATTGGACAGGTGGGAGCCTTTGGGAGCCAGCAGTTTGCTGCGCATGTGCCGCCTTAAGGTCTTCAGGTCTTCAGGTTAGTTTCAATCCCTTCGTTGTCCAGGTTGCCAAGAGGCTGGCCGCACGACTCACGCCGTCGGACCTCAACATGTTTTTGCGGGAGGCATCCTAGCTGCCATCTGCCATTTGCAGGCTCGGTTAGCTTCTCATGCATGTGTCTGGAAGCCTTGGCAGGTTCAGCTCAGCTTGTTGGAGAAGAGTGGGCCGTTGGCTCAGAAGGGTTCTCAGGAGCATTCCCACAGGATTCTGCTTGGATCCCAAAGCTTGACCGGACAGGGTCTCCCGCAGCAAGAAAACGGCCAAGCTCTCACGAACTTGATCGACAGATGAATTGGTTTGTATTTCGAGGTTTCGCGCTCCCATGAGATCTGCTTCGAAGTGGGTTGAGACTTCTGCGGATTGAGGTAGTATCCGCACGCTCTTGGAACAAATATCAAGAGAAAGCGGAAGGCCAGGCCTGGCATCCTTTACTGTAATGTATCACTAATGTATCACACCCATCGGCGAGCCTCTGCTGTCTTCCTGTCATACATCCTTTTATGTTTCTTGGCATAGAAAGCAGCAAGATCCTACAGCCAGCATGTCAGCCTGGAGAATTTCTGCAGGCCGCCTTGCGGATGCCCTTCGCAGTGTCCTTGTTCGGGTTTGTGAAGACGTCACTTCCATCAGCCAGCATTGTGATTCAGCATGTTTTTTCCAGGCCTGGAGGAAAAAACAAAGCCGAATCCAGTGCAGGCTGCAAATTTGGCTGTGACATGGGTGCTTTGTTGTGGTGCTTTGACCTGTTTGCCTGGCGTTTGCTCAAGAGTGCGTGCTCAGAGTCAGAGTGTACTCAGTGTACTCTTTGTCTAACTTCCTGCGGACTTTTTGATTTCGGGCGGCTTTTTGCGCTGCAATGCAAAGCGCGTAATTAGGCCCGAGCAGTACGCTGAGATATGAAAAGTCTGCTAAGTATGATTCGCAGTTTTTTTTTGTAGCTAGCCTCAATTACTTGCATTGGCTTCTTGCACCAAAGTATCATCCCATCTCACTGCAGCTCTGACAAGCACTGACAAGCCAAACACCCGAACGCCTGAAAGTGATCCTTTCCGTGAAATGCATGAACCGGGCCAGGAGCTGTGGAAGTCGACAAGCTCACGCTTTCCGCCAATCACGAAAGAAGGATTCGAACCACAGAACTTGAGGCCATAGCGAGCGCAGTTTGGGAAGCTCCGACTTCTGGCCCAAAGTTGGATCCGGCAAGGCTTTGCCTGAACGAAGTGCTTCACGCTGCAACAACTCCAAGTGACTGGGAGGTGCTGAGAGCCTTGAGTGTGCCTTGAAGCTGTTGCGAAATGTGACGGCAGGCTCTGTGGCAGTGTATGGATTTGGCCTCCTTACCTGACAAGGAAACTGTAGAATAGATTTGCTGCCCACAAACACCGCGGCATAGACAATGTCCCCACCAGGAGCGCGAGGATGCTGTGCTAGAAGTTGCCTGTAGCTGAGTGATCAGTGGAGTGCCCTCGTTTCTTGTTGTGCTGCATGGCACTTATTCTGTGTGAGGCTATCACACTGCTATCTGCTGATCACAACAGCCAGACGCCTAACAGCCAGACGCCTTGAAGAAGAGGGAGCTGGAGGTTTGATTCATGGCATCTTGGGAACGGAGACGGTTGAGGTTCGGGTGGTGTATCGCGTGCCTTGGCGGACTTGGTCAGGAGCTGGCCTTACTCTGTACCCGTGACTCCCAAAAGGATCAAAAACTGGTAGTCATTGGTGGCTCCCAGGTCTTACAAGATCAAGTTGCGCATTCTTGAAGCTGCCGCCACTCTCTCAACTTTCGATGCAGAGAGAAGGACGCGAAGGTCGGACGAATGAGTCACAAAACCTCTACGTGCCCTCAGGTCGGTGAGATGGACCAGACCTCAGGACATTTGGAAAATCTTATTGGAAAGTTTGACTGGACTTCCATTTGCATGAAGCTCAATCAGGTGAGACAGCTTCCTGCACATGCCCAGTTGCCGCCTCCCTTGCAGCAGGCTGGAGCGGACAGATTGCTCCAATGATGCGTTTGGCGTGTCATGTCAGGTTATCGCCAGCGTGCTGGCCTACATTTATCCCTCACCAATACAGACAACACGCGAAGGGCTTGGAAAAGACTTGAAAGGACCATCATCGGCATCCTGGGCCGGCATGGCCATAAATGTCACGAGTCATTCTTTCAGAGGCCATGGTTGGTGCAGGCCGGGCTGGTCGTGAGCCAAGTCATGGCACCGCAGTCCTCAATGCATGGAGAGGATGGGCGGAGCTAAGGAAGTTCAATGACTGGATGGCCTTCGTCGAAAAAGTCTTGGGCGGCTTGAAGGACTTCCCCGCCAAGCCGAAGTTCGCGAGCATGAATCCAAGATCTACACAACTGCATCAGGAGATGGAAGCTTTGTCACTTTTAGATGAGACAATGGCGCTGGTGCAGGTGCTGATAGTTTCGTCCCATCGTGTGTGACGCTGTGGCACCCTGAATCTGTGGAGGCTTCACAAGACTGCCTTAACTACTTGGAGCAAAGCCCTCAGCCTCCTCGTTCCATGGCTCAGAGGGCGCTGGGTTCCAATGTCTCGTGAGCCAGCTGTACGCCTTGGAGGCTCCGGGACTTCTTGGACAAAGCCAAGCTGGAGAACAGGGCTGAGATTTTCGAGGGAGGGCACGCATTGCAGTAGACATGTGGTAGTCGCGTTCAACAGCATGCCATTGACCTTGACTCAGGTGTGCTCCGATGCAGGCAGCGCATCCTTTCAGTGGATTTGCGCCAGACTGCGTGCGATCAGCGATGTTATCGCCACGGGCGTCTCTTCGGCAATGTTGCAGGCGATGGCAAAGCAAACAGAGCAGAGGCGCGCCCTGTCAACTCTCCCAGGTTGCCCAACGCCGAAGAATCACATAGCCGACACCGATCCGGACATGTTTGCTGAGAAGACTAGATGCGTGCTTGGCTTTCTCCACACAGTATCATAGCTGCATCAGTGAATTGTAGAAGCACCTGTCTTCAGCCATGCCTTTCGCGGAGACTGCCCTGTTTACCGGCTTTGCCCATTCACTCTGGTCTTACAACCGCGAGAACTGGCAGTGGGACTGGCAGGTGAAGCAAGCAGGTGAGTTTCAGAAGCAGAACCTGGCAGTGGGCCGCTATGGGCTTTTTCGTGAAGACATTCGAGACCTGGCAGCCCTCACTGTTAACAAGATGGACAGCTACCTCATCGTGAACACACTCAAGTTGGGCTTCATTGTAAGCATCTTCTTGAACTACGACCTCAAGGATGCTGCACAGCATGCTGGGTGTATGGTGCGGCAGGTGACTCTCCTGTTCTCCGTCAGCTTCTTGACCTCATTCCTCTTCTTGCTCATTTCTGTCTGGCTTGCCATGAATGCTTCCATAATTGCACAGTCCATGACTACAAAGATGCTGCTACAAACTGCCCGCATTCCTTTCATGTCAGATGCTGATATTCTTTCGGCTGTTCCGGAGGCGAGAGAATATGAAACTCGGCTCGACGATGCTTTCCGCTTGCCTTTAGACACCAGGGCAAACATGGCAAGCACCGCAACCCAGGCAGACGAGCACAGGACTCAAAGGAGTCCCACGGCGCACGGTTCGCACAGTTCTCGGACCTCACCAGTGCCATGGGCACCGACACTTGATCCAATGATCGAGCCAGCAGACAGCTATCAGTCAACGCCAGAAGCCTTTGGTGAAAGGACGAGAGGCCCGGAAATCCGACATGGCAACAGCATTGACGGCACAAGCGGCATGAGTGACGAGCTGGATGCCAATCCTCATTTGAAGTTTTATTCACTCCTAATGCGAAACTGGCAGACTTTTGATCTCTACAGCAAGGTCTGCATGTCCATCGGAACCAGCTCCATGCTCTCAGGCATCGCATATTATGCCACCTATTTCAGTCGCAGTGATTCCAAGGGGGAAGTCTTGGACCCCTACACGTCTGGCTGGTTTATTTTTGCATTCATGACTGTCCTGGCCTGGTGGTCCGTCACGATAGATGTGGTTCTGACGCGCTTTGAGCACTTTGTGTGGGCCAGCGTGTCATTGTGCGGGCCGGCCATGGCTGCTGTCTCCATCCTTTCACACCAGCGGGTGCTGATGCCCCTAGTGTTCTTGCTTCAAGGATGTTGGGTGTGGCTGCTTTGTGGCTCTTCACTGGCGTTGAGAAATGGTTTGCCCAGGCGTTGGCGAGCCTCCCTATTCATCGACATCTTGAACCCCTACACATCAAACAGCTCCACCGGAAGACTGGCCCGGCCTAGCGGCTAGTCTAATTTTGTCACGAAGGTAACGGACACGGGGTCTTCAGTTATTGTGGAGGCTTTGGGAGGGCAAGGGCTGCCCAGGGTTGAGTCAAGAGCTCGTGTGGCGGAGTGTGTTTAGCATGACAACTGTTTTGGATTGTGTAGAAGATCCTTAATCCATGTGAGTTGCTGCACCTTAGGACTTTTTAGTACATTATGCTATGACAAAGGTAAAGCACATAGGCAGAGAGGGGCATCGAGAAACACCCAAGCCAATGGTGCATCAAGAGCCCAACCTAACGTGTGACACGTTCTTGGGGGGAGGGGTGCGGGAGGAGAGGGCAGGAGAAGCTCGTGATGTTCGAGGGCTTTGAAAGGTCTTGATTTTTGGGATGAAGATTTTCAGCCAGGCGAGCGAAAATGTGTATCTGTATATGTATCTGGCTATCTATATATATATATATATATATATACATATCCAGATACTGGGACCATGGGCATCCAAACAAAACTCCAGCCAGGGCCCGTTTGTTTTGCCCCAAACGCTTGAGGTTTGAATCCTCGGCGGATTGCCCCGCGATGCTACCTTTACCTGCCACCAACGACCAACTTTGCTCTTGTTAAGGCAACTTGTCCCGAGCACTTCCCCCAGCCGCAGCGGCTGCTGCTGATCAGCTTTCACAATGCCTCGAGGCTTTGTTGCAGCCGTGCGTCGCCATCCACTTGCAAGAGGAAGCCGTGGAACAGGTTCGTCGAAGCCGAGGCCGTCTTGAGGAGGCTCTACTACAAGTCGGCTGGCGCAAGCACGCAGCCAAGGAAGACACGGGCGGAGCCAAAGGTCGTGTAACACGCCGGGCAGTGTCGGAGGGAAGTGCACCGGCAAGAGCGAGCACGCCAGGCTCAGAGGAAGATGGGTTTTGGCTTGCCCTTTCCACAGACGGCCCGGAGCGTCCCGAGAAAGTTTGGGTAGGAGTACGCAGCTGTAACGAACAGCTTCCACCATTTCTGAAGCGTAACAGGGGTCAGATGACCAGTGTCGGCGAGTTGCTGGAAGCAGCTGCCGTGCTGTTGCGCGCCATGCGCCCTGCGAAGCACTCGCCGGCTTGGACCACACGTGATGCCGGGCGACTGGCAGCCTACGGCGGTTGGCCAGATGCAGCCTCCAGCTTGACATCCTTCGAGGCCCAGTTCCGAACGAAAGGGCAGGCTGCAAACAGTAGCATGGGTGAGTCAGCTCGGCGATTTTTTCAAGCAAGTGCTGCGCTCGTGAGTATTGCCTGGCTGGTTGCTCCGCTCGCGAGCCTTGTGGTGAACTTGAGCCCTCATGATGTCGTGCCTGAGCTCCACGCGCTCCATGCTGGTAAGCAGAGCACCAATGCAGCTGGCGCTGTAGCTGCCTTGGGCAAAAACTACAGCTACAGAGTGTCTGCGCAACTGATCTCTGAAAGACAGCTGCCTCGGCCGTGGATGCTTCCTTCATCAGCTAGCTGTACAAGTGATGGAACGCAGCTCATCGTGTCAGATGGTGTGCGCGCATTTCAGAGCACGACAGACAGCAACTCCACCTGGCTAGGGCCTTTGGCCACTTGTTCTGGTGCTCCCATTTCTGCGGTGTCTTTTCATGAGACAGATGCCGTTGCTGCAAGAATCTTGGGCTCATGATGGTCATTCTGCGGCGAAGTTGCTTGTGCGTTTCTCTTCATTGAGATAGATGCCACAGCTCAAGAGGACCTAGTCGCAATGCGCAATGCTAAGATATGCTAAGTGTATGCACCAAAACCACCAAGGATTGGATGATTGCTGCAGGGCTTGGCCCTTGCATGACAATGCAGACAGAGAGGGAGAGTGTGCAGCGCCACAAGCTCAGCAATATCCTGAGGTGCCACACTTTCGAGCGTTGGCTCTCAACACTTTGCCAGATTCCTCGACACATCATTTACAAGGCAGGACAAGCTAAGGCTTGTGGGTAGGCGCCTCGCCCACACTCCCCCCAAAACGCGTCCAGAGGCCATTGCAGCCGAAATCACAGAAGGATCCTGAACCCCTTGCCAAAAATGCCCTGACAGTTGTTTCTTACATTTGCTCTGCCTGACACAACTATCGCTGATAAAATGCCACGGGTGGGAGAAGAGCTAGGAACTAGGAACAATTCCTGCCAGCAGTTTTCATCTCGAGGTGCTGCAGTATGGCACCGACGCTTTGTCGCGCTGGAGCTTTCAGAGGATGGTGCATGGCAGGTGGCTGGAATGCTGCCGCAGCCCACGCTACCCAGGTGCAGACGTGTTTGGGGGGCGGAGGGGGTTGGACATAGACACGAACTTCATGCATGGATCCTGCTTCGTGTTGCACCCCTGTGCCGAGGGGAGGCGGGCAATGGGCAGCTGTTGGCCTCAAGGGAAACGACGCAGTGATCATGACGGAGCACGCTGCGCTTTACCATTTTGCAGTTGCCGAGGGAGTGTGGACGGGACCATGGCAGCTACGGAACAGCCTCGACTGGCGAGGCATATGTGCTTTGAGCAGAGGTTGGGCGGCCATAGCCATAGAGAATGGCAGGGTTGGGCTGTGGCATCTGACACTGGAAGGCCTGGAAGGCCAAGACGCTAACACCAGACTTCCGCCAGCATTTGTGTCCTGATTCTTTCGGTGCCTGTCGTGCCTGTGAAGCTACAGGAGGTCTTTCCAGGTCGTGCCCGCACTAAGCCGCAGAACGTCTTACCGTCTTCCCCTTGACGCTGCTCCTGCCACCCTAGACAACATCAGCCACGTGGTGAGCCACAACAAGTGCTGAATAGCAAAACCTGGGCGCCAGCAAAGTTCTGGGAGAGGGGGCCAAGGTGCTCTGAAGGTGGCACTGAAATCGCACAATCGCACAGCGACGATTTAAAAAAAGTTGAAAGAATGTGAGATGTTTGTATCATGCGTTGAAGAAAAGCATCGCGAGGGACCAGTGCTTGTCCTTCAAGGCTGAGACAACGAGACGTTGAAGGGCACTTTTCTCTGATTGCATGCTTGTCCGCAGCATGCGTGGCTCGGACTTGACGCACGCAACGTCGCCGTGGCTACCTGAACAGGCTCGCCAAGGATGTTTTGTGGCGCATGTTGCGCAGCCGATTCCGAGCTAGTCGTGCAGAATGAGAGTGGGACAAAAGCTCCTTTGGCACCGATGCTTGCAGCAATGCCGGCGGGTACAGGTGGGACCCCAAGTCGTGACAATCACTGCCCTGAAAAGGATACCATGCATGATTTCAGTGCTGAATCTCAGGTGGGGAGCGATTCGTCATGACGCTGAAGGACGTGAATGCTTTCAAGACTTTGGACCTGGACCTGTCTGACAACAAGTGCGTCATCTTCGCCAACTGCGACGGCGCAGCAGCGGAGTGGAACAAGCAAAGTTTGTCACAGGTCTTCCGATTTGATCGCGTCATTGAGCTGAACGGCCAGCCTTGTTTGGCCACAGATCTCGTGGAAAAGAGCAAGTCCGAGGACCTTGGCACTTTGCAATTGACGATCGAAAGGCCACAAAAGCGCATGCTCTACTTGCAGAAGCCAGGTCGACTTGGTATGGACTTAACCTACACCAAGACTCGAAAGGGTTCCATTAAGCCGTGGATCACTAACATTGCCGATGGACTTGTGAACCAGTGGAATGCCAACATGCCGGAGCTTGCAGTTGGCCCACATGATCGCATCATCAGCGTGAACGGCAGCGGTGGAACACCCAGTGACTTGGTGCAGCTCCTCGGCTCGCCCGAAGAAACCCTGCAGCTTGAGGTTTTGCACTACAACATCTGAGCACGGAGAAGGGCGTCGCAATTTATCATGCCGCTCACAGGCACTGGTCAAAGCAAAGCTCAAGGCAGTGCTAATGGCTGTTTCACCCCGGCCTTGCCCGTAGGTTGTGCATTCTGATTCGAACCAATGACATCATCCTATGCTACGCAGCACATTGAGCCGTGAAAAGCGCCATTCCTTCAAGCATGCCGTTGCCAATCCAAAAGTCATAGCACACCCAATGTCTGCCAGGATGGGACACATGAACATTGACAACGAATGATCGGTGACGTTCGGTGCCAGAGCCAGGGCCCACCCTGCGCATCTGAAGCGAAAAGGGTTCCTACAGTTCTGCTGCTCTGCTGCACAGCTTGGCGTGTGCTAGAGCGTGCGGCTGACGCGCATGATGAAGGTGGCATGCCGGTGATGTGTACTTGTTGGCTCAACAGTTGGCACAAAGTTGTCGACAACCTGTTGGTTAAAACTCAGACAAATCATCCGACACGTCCATGCTGCGGCTAAAGGCAATCTCTGGGACCAGTGTTAAGCGCGACAGCTACGCGTGGGCAACGCAAGGTGCAACTCAAACTGCAGGTAAAATTGTGGTTCTGATTTCTTCCTTGCTTCGTCATGGCAGTCGAAGAGGGGCTCCGCCAGGAGCTTGCATACATGTTCGGTGGCTCTGCTAAGACAGCCAGCAACTCTGGCCCGTACTTGTATAAGGCGATTCTTGCCGTTTAGGGTCCGATCTCGCAAAGACACGGCAACAAAGTGAAAACACATGCTTCCTTGAGGAGCTTGAGACGCAAATAGCAGCGCGCCAGGCTTCCCGAGAAGAGTTGCGGTATCGGGATGAAACTCCCCGAAAAGCATGCTATGCCCCATGCCCCCTGGAAACATGGAGGAGCTTGAAGATGCTCTGCGGAAGGCCGCGGAGTATGGCACGTGGCCCAGGTCAATGTAGACGTTGTGACAAGAAGTGCCATACCAGCCGAGGTCAAGACTTGCTGGCGCAGGTTCAGGACCACGGCCATAGTGCGAATGCTGTCCCAGCTTTGTCATATCGTACCTTTCAAACACTTAAAGGAGCATGAGCGAACCATCCAAGAGTACCGCGAGAAGGCCGCACTAAATGCCAGGAGCGAGTTCGGATGTGGGTAGACAATGTGTCCTCAAGGAACGCGCTTCGGAAATAGACCTGCCCAAGAGCCAGGCCAGAAAAACAGCTGAGCAGCTACCCCTGTGATGTGTTTGAATCGATGAAGCATTCATGGGCTTCTTGGCAAGCTTGCCCGGAGTCACTGGCAGGCACAGCGCCGGCAGTCTGAACCCTAAGTATCCCACTGGGGTCATCCGGTTGCTGCCTGCCACACAACGAAACATTGCTGAAAGTTTGGGGGGCGTTTAACGTTGCGGTCAGGCCTCCGCAACATTCCTGCCATTCCATCGTGAATTCGAAAGCCGAAATCAATTCGCGTCAACGCAAGCCATTCCTATTGGGATTGCAGCCTGGATCACTGGAAGATCACGCAAAAGTGAGCACGGGCCGACACAACACTCAACGTTCGTTACCCGCAGTCTTCCCCAGCCGGACAAGAATCAACAAATCTGCAAGACCAAGATGCCTAAGGTCGACGGCGCGCAGGGTGCTTGGATGTTGAATGACCGAGCACCGTTGGCTTAGTTTGCGCTAGCTGCACCAGGTCGAGCAAGCACCATCCACTTCGCCCCAACTCAAACAAGTCGCGGGGACGGCGATGATGGTGGCAATCACGATGGCAGTGCACGTCGTGCTGCTGACCACTTGACACTGTCCCAGCAAGTGGCTTCCCATGGCTTGAGAGTTTGCATAATAATAATAATAATAATAATAATAATAATACTTATTGTTGTTATATTTATAATGAGAATTATAAGTATTATTATTATAACTGTTGTTATTATCTTCACTATCATTATTATCAGTATTATTATTTATAACTATAGCTACAATAATAGTCATAATAATGATAAACAATAAGAATGATTATTAATAATAATCATGATAATAATAATAATAATAATAGTTCAATACTAGTATGGCAGGCCGGGTCGCCTTCTTGCCTGGTAGCCCTGACAGCGATGAAGAGGATGCAAACCTCGAGTTCTCGCAGACCTGCACACCTCCGCAACATGCAGGAACCTTCATGCAATCTGCCGCAGGAGCCAGCGCAAAAAGAAAGGCCAGGCAAAGCTGCACCCCGACGTGGCCGTGGAGGACACACCATGGTGGCACCTTCCTCAGCCGACTACAGAAGCAACACGCAGTCAGCACAAAAGTCACAAAAAGCCAAGAGGCAATGCTCCGCAATCCTGATCCCATGATAGATAGCAATGGGCAGGTTGAAGATCTCATGCAGCACAATCAGTCGACGGAGCCTCATCGCTGAACACTATGGAAACGGTTCAGCAGGATTGATCAGCGTCACATTGACATTTTCCTTGCTGCCCACCTCAGTGGCGCGTGACCGAGGCTGGAAGAGGACCTGCGACGATTGCAAGAGAACTACCAGAAGCTGCAGGAGCCGTAGAAACAAGCCCTGGCGAAAGCACCTAGCAAAACAGACGGAGGAGCAGGACGACTCAGAAGATGAGGAGGACGACGAAGGCTCCAAGGGGAAGTTGAGGGTTCACGCTACGGCGTCCCTCCGATCTCCTCTTCTGCAACAGCAGACAAAAGTGGCAGCCTCAGCAAAACAGTCCGATGGAATAAGTCGCCTGCCGATAACTGTGGCTAGTCGGTGGCTACATGCCGCAGTGCATTGCTACCTGCGTGTCAGCGTGAACAAGGAGATCGAAGAACTACGGCAGGCGTTGCGTACGGCTCAAAAGGAAGCAGCCAAACAGCTGCAGGCCTTGGAAGACGGGCACTTAGACGGAGCGATGGTGAAGCTGCAATTGTGCATTCAGGTGCAGGGTTATGTCGGCGCATGTTGGTGATGAATTGAAAGTCGAGGCAGAAGTGGAATCGAAGAAGCAAGAAATAGAGGAAAGAAAGGTTGCGGAGCAGGCAGAGTTGTTGCCCTCATTGTTTTGACCGTCTTCCCCTTGTCCCATGCAGGTAGCAAAGTCCAATGCCGCACAGAGCGAAACCAAGTGCAAGGCCCGCAAACAACCACGAGAAGTAGAAGGCAGAAGTTGATACAATATTACGCGTGGACACTGGGCAAGGCATTGCAGGAAAAGCTGCATATTCTCATGGAGGAAAGTGAGAAGACCGTCTGCTGCTCAGCAGAGCAAATTCTTTGGATCTGGAAACTGGATGGCAAGACACGTTAAGAACCTCGTGCAACCGCCAGGAAAGAGAGCTACAAGTTGCCAAAGCCAAAGAGACATGGGCTCAGCCAGTGCTTGTGCTTGAAGCCGTTTGAAGTCACATTCCAGATTCGGGCGAACGCAAGGCGGGACTTGACCTTCCAGCTGGAGGAGCAAGCATTGAGGAACAAGGCCTGTTGCATGATGTTGCATGTTTTGTCCTCGACCGCGGGTCATGCGGGTCCGCGGGGTTGGAATCTGCCGCAAGGCACGGACTCAGCGAAAGTGGATGCCGACCGCATGCGAGGAAGCACTGCGCTTCAAGCTTACCTTGACGCATGGTGTTGCATGATCCTTGTCCTTGCATGTGCAATTCGAAGGGCACCCAATTCGCAACACACAGCCCGCTTGTGTCGCTAAGACAGCGCAGCAGCACGAGCTTCTTTGGCAGATGAGCTGGGCACCAAGAGTGCCAAGTTCGAGCATCAACTCGCGTGGTAAGTGGTAGCACTTTTGTAATCGAACGGCGTTCAGGTTCGAGGACATGCAGGAGAAAGAAGAAGTCATGGATGCGATATCCGAGTGTTAGGCCCAGACAGCTCCCGACGGGAACTGCCAGCTGAGAACGCAATAAAATCGGGCCTGCCCAGCACATCATCATGCATCATGTGTTAGCCAAGGTCTGATGAGATGGCGGATGACCACGAAGGTGCCGTGCAGCATACCACTGTCCTTCAACTTCCACGCTTTTCACAGCGAGGCTGCGATGAAAACGTCGGCGGCGGCAAGGCCTGATGTGGTTGATGTCAGCTACAACGTTTTGCCACATATCGGGCTAGTACAAGTACACAATGGCACGTGCAAAGGGTTCGAAGTGGGCCAGCTTGTTCTAGCTGACGAAAGAAGGGAAGTCGGATGGGCATCGCCTGACTGAAGTGCGACTCCAACAGGTTCCCCTGGCTACGGTTAGGTTGGTCGGGGTTAGCGGGGGGCGACCCTTTATGCAGCGTGCTCACACGCGTGACAGGTGTTGACAATCGTTGATCGTTGACATGTTGAGTCAAGGTCGATCGCCCCCAGTCTTATTCCAGTAAGGCTTCGGAATTTGATCATGTCACGAAAGCTAGCTCCTTGGAGCTTGTGGGGCTTTTTGTTTACAACATCGCAAACACCTTCATCCCTGATCGCCGTATTTTAAGGCAACAAAGAAAGGGCACACCTTTTGGGCTTCGTGACGAGGAGATGCCTTGCACGTCGTGTGGATTGGAGGTGGGGGGGGGGGGGGGGGGGGTGGCAATGTTTTCTCGGACCTCGTGCCCCGCCCGCCCTTCAGATGAGCTTATGCTGACATACGATAGCTCGCACTTCTGCTCTTGCAGCTTCTACTTTACCAGCGTGTAGTGTCGGCGTCGTCATCATCGTCGTTTCGTCGTCGGCTCCACCGTCCGGCGCCGATGGCACGCTCATTGAATGTGGTTGAAGACGGTAGAAGGATTAAAAGAAAACCTCTGAAAAGCCTATCCCCAAAAGCCTAAATCCTTCTGCTGCTCGATCTAATCTCGGTCGCTTCTGCAAGCCACCCGAACACTTTCTCCACTCTTTCTCCTCAGCTCCGGTGTTTGCGTTTGCCATCCTGCTTTAAGATGTTTGGGTTCGGATATTGGCCCGTGTTCATCGATCATCTGCAGACGTTGCCGCCGTTAAAGAAGCAAATGGCACTTCGCCTT